CAGGTGGTCTGAGAATGCCTGAGAAATTCAGTGTCTAAGTATCAAATAACTTCAAGATGGGCTGTCGGAACTTCTAGAAGACACAAAAGCTGAGAAGACTGGGAGGCACCAGAGCTGGGGCCTTATTTTATCTACCTATTCTACTCCATTCCATTCCATCCTGTCTTACCCTTGCATATTGCAGATATTAACCTATTTAACCCTATCATAAACCAATGGCGTAGAAATAATCATAACCTATTTCACAGTGAAGAAATGGAAGTATAGAAAGGATGAGTAACTTACCCAAAATTGCACAGTTATAAAGTGGAGGAGCTGGAATTTGAACCAAGATAGTCTGGGTGTCTTAGTGACAGCATGGGGTGGTGGATAGGAATGCAGATTCTTGGGTTGCACAGTTTGGGTTCAAATCTCACCTCTAACATTAACATGCTGTGTTGGTCTTGCATAAACTGATCCCCTTGCACGTCAGTTACCCAAGCTTTAAATTGGAGGAGAGTAAACGGTAACATTTCAAAGCATTCTTGTCAAGACTAGCTTTTCTTTCTTCTTTTCTTTTTTTTTTTTTGCTTGAGGCTCACTCTGTCGCCCAGGCTGGAGTGCAGTGGCACAATCATGACTCATAGCAGGCTTGACCTCGCAGGCTCAAGCAATTCTCCCATCTCAGCCTTCCAAGTAGCTGGGACTACAGCTACCCCTGGCACTGCAGGTGCACACCACTACACCCAGGTTTTTTTTTTTGTTTTTTTGTTTTTGAGACAGATTCTCACTCTGTCACATAGGCTGGAGTGCAGTGGTGTGATCTCGGCTCACTGTAACCTCCGCTTCCTGGGTTCAGCTCCTGCCTTGGCCTCCTGAGTAGTCGGGGTTACAGGTGCATGCCACCACACCCAGCTGATTTTTGTATTTTTAGTAGAGATGGGGTTTCACCATGTTGGCCAGACTGGTCTTGAACTCCTGACCTCAGGTGATCCACCCACGTTGGCCTCCCAAAGTGCTGGGATTACAGGCATGAGCCACTGTGCCCGGCTGTATTTTTGTATTTTTTGTAGAGACAGGGTCTCACTCTCTTGCCCAGGCTGGCTTGAACTCCCAGACTCAAGCAATCCTCCCACTTCAGCCTCCCAAAGTGTTGGGATTACAGGCATGAGCTGCTGTGCCCGGCTGTATTTTTGGTATTTTTGTATTTTTTGTAGAGACAGGGTCTCACTATCTTGCCTAGGCTGGCTTGAACTCCCAGACTCAAGCAATCCTCCCACTTCAGCCTCCCAGAGTGTTGGGATTACAGGCATGAGCCACTGTGCCCACCAGGACTGGCTTTCAATAACTGTTTGCCCTTTTTAAAACTGGTTAACACATTGTCGTAGGACAGTAAGTAGGGCATGGAGTTCCCTGACTCCTGCTCTGTCTCTGATCTTCATCCCATACTTGAACTTAGGCATGAGGCTCAGGGATGGGATGGAGGAGTCAGGAGTGGTGTATGTGTGCGGGTAGGGTGGGCAATGAGTTGAGTAAGCTACTTGGTAATTTAAAAAAAGCTGAATGTCGGCTGGGCGCAGTGGCTCACACCTATAATCCCAGCACTTTGGGAGGGCAAGGCGGGCAGAGCGCCTGAGGTTAGGAATTTGAGACCAGCCTGGCCAACATGGTGAAACCTCGTCTCTACTAAAAATACAAAAACATTAGCCAGGTGTCGTGGCAGATGCCTGTAATCCCAGATACTTGTGAGGCTGAGTCAGGAGAATCGTTTGAAACTGGGATGGATGTTGTAGTGAGTTGAAATTGTGCCATGCACTCCAGCCTGAGCGACGGCGATGGAGTGAGAGTCTGGCAAAAAAAAAAAAAAAAAAAAAAAAGCTGAAATGTCTAGTCACGGCATCCAAATGGCCATGTCTGGAAGGGCATGATGAAGCCTCATCCCCCTGCATCAAACCCAACCACCAGTTTATTCCTTTATGGTCACAAATCTGTCAGGCATTTGACATCAGCGCTTCTTCATCTGTTCTTTTTTTTTTTTTTTTTTCTGAGACGGAGTTTCTCTCTTGTTGCCCAGGCTGGAGTGCAATGCTGTAGTCTCGGCTCACCGCATCCTCTGCCTTCCAGGTTCAAATGATTCTCCTACCTCTTGGTGTCCTGAGTTGCTGGGACTACAGGCATGCACCACCACGTCCGGCTAATTTTTGTATTTTTAGTAGAGGCAGGGTTTCGCCATGTTGGCCAGGCTGGTCTCAAACTCCTGACCTCAGGTGATCTGCCCGCCTCAGCCTCCCAAAGTGCTGAGATTACAGGCTTGAGCCACTGCGTCCGGCCTCTTCATCTACTCTTTTACTGCTTTTGAGGTCTCTTTTGGAACTGGGCCTGAAACCAGCCAGGAATTAGGGTTTAGGGTCCTCAGGGAGGACGGCCCTAAATGGAAGACGGCTGAGGGTCCAGGTCCACCTGTTTCTCTGGGGTCCTGGCTACGGAGCAGCTGTGCTGGAGGAAAGGGGGTGTTGGGAAGGAGGGCAGACAGGATGCTCCGCTGCGCCACCCAGATCTGCATCCGGAATCAGGAACAGTCCGCTGGCTGCTGGTAGCACCCTCAGCCTTCAGCCCCTTGGGTGTGGCTTCTGCTGGTGAGTTGCCTGACTCAAGACAGACTGATGTAGGGGTCTAAAATCCCGCCTTCCAGTCCCAAATTGGGACACTTCTGAAAGGTCACCTTCAGAATGCCCTGCAGGGTTGGCTGAAGCTTCTGTTGAGATTTATGGCAGCTCAGCTTTGCCTCTGACCAGAGAGGCCTCCTCCCCTCTCCTCCTCTCCCCCGCCCTTCCCTTCTGCCTCCTCCTTTCCCTCCCTTCTCTCTTCTTCCCTTAGCTTTCTTCTCCCCTCCCCCTTTTCCTCTCTTTTTTCTTTCCCTCCTATCTGCTCCCTCTCCTCCTCCTCTTTTCTCTCCCTCTCCTCCCCTCCTCTACCCTCCCTCCTCTTCCCTTCTTTTCCCTCCCTCCCCTCCCCCTCCTGCTCCTTCCCTGGTCTGTCTTCTCCCTCTCCCCTATCCCTTCCTCTCTCCCCTCTCCTCTCCTTCCTTCTCTTCCCCTCCCGTCCCCTCTCCTCCCTTCCCCTCCCCTCCCACTCCCTCCTCTCCCTTCTCTTCCTCTCTCCTCCTCTCCAGTCCCTTCTCCTCCCTTCTCCCCTTCCCCTCTCTCCCCTCTCCTCCCCAAGAGCACTCCCTTGTCAGCCTCCTGACAACTCCATCTCAGAGCAGGCTTCTGGGGTACCCAACCCAGGACCCCAGGCCAAGGTGTGAGAAACTCCAAGCAAATCCAACAGAAGACAGCAGCCAGCCAAGTTGAATCCACTTTTTAATATTGTAACCATAATGCAAACAAGCATAATAGGCTTTTGTTGAATCCCATAAAATTGGAAGATGAGAACTATACAGAAGAAAAGCATGCGACGAACACAGCCTGGACAACCTCGCAAAGAGCGTGGGGTGGGCGTCAGGCCTTCAAGGAAGGTGCTGGAGCACAGGGACACTTGGCAGAGATTAGCAGCATCGAGAGCTCAGAGGTAGGGGGGAAGGCCGAGTTTCTGACAGTGCGTGTGTGTGTGTGTGTGTGTGTGTGTGTATGTGTTTGTGTGTGTTGAGATGTGACCAGGTCTGCCCATCTCCCCAGTTTCCCAAGCCCGGAACGGACACTGTGATGTGGGGTGCCCGGCACCGCTCTTTGGGCCTTCTGGAAAACCACTGCTGAGCCAGGAGTGTGAGTCTTAACAATCACAACGAGAACACAACAATGAAAACAGTGGCGGCAGAGCACAGGACGTGGGAGGGAACGGAGACCGAGTTCGAGAGCGCTGGATCTCAGTGGGTCTTAATCAGAACCAACACCAAGGACATAGTGTCTTATTGAAATGGGCTGTCATCCTCTGTTCTGGCATAAGAGGGCTTTTTTTTTTTTTTTTTTTTCCCATAGGGTCTCATTCTGTCAGCAAGCTGGAGTGCGGTGGCGCCATCTCGGCTCACTGCAGCCTCCGCCTCCCGTGTTCAAGTAATTCTCCTGCCTCAGCCTCCCGAGTAGCTGGGATTACAGATGCCCGCCACCACGCCGGGCTGATTTTTGTATTTTTAGTAGAGGTGGGGTTTTGCCATGTGAGCCAGGTTGGACTCTAACTCCCGGCCTCAAGTGATCTGCCAGCCTCGGCCTCCCAAAGTGCTGGGATGACAGGCATGAGCCGCCACACCCGGCCTGGGAGGGGTTTTTGAAAGCATACTGCCCTCCCCATGCCCCCTCCCCCAGATCTCCTCAAATCCCACTTTGGCAGGAGATAATGGCAACAACCACTGGGCCAGGCAAAGCTTCTGCTGCTTGCTCCAGGAAATCTATACTGAGAAGTCCTGGGGTAGCCAGCAGAGATTCTCTTGACCCTGAAGTCCCAGAGAGGGGTGTTGTCCCCGGGGACGTTGGGCAATGTCTGATGACATATTTGATTGTTACCATTGGCAGGACACTGCTACAGGTGTCTAGTGGATGGAGGCCAGGAATGTTGCTCTGCTTCCTACGGTGCCCAAGACGGCCCCCACAATAAAGAATTATCCAGCCCCAAATGCCAATAGTGCCGAGGTTGACAGACCCCGCGCAAGAGCCTCCTAGAACTTAGAGTCAAATCTGGGCACTTGGATGTCCTGGAGTCATTTTCTAAAAGACTATAGGAAGCAGTGCATGGAGGCAGATTTGTTCCTGCCTGCCAGGGCCATCTCGTTAATAACGGACTGTGTTTTGGACCAGACAGGCATAACCCCGCTTGACCAGAACTGTTCGGATATTCCAGAACAAAACAAACTCATAGAAACATACTAAGGCATATTGACACCTGACCACCTCCCTTGCACGTGGCTTTGATAAGTATTAATAGGAAACAGACTCGCAACAGACACTGCTTTCCATGGGTGAAAGTGTACCTGGGTCCTCACATTTGGAGAAGGCAGCTTTTCTTTTGGGGTTCTTTTGCCACAAGACAGGGACTGGTAGTGGGCCAAGGATAGGGGGTGTGAGATAAAGGGCAGAGGCCAGGCCAGGTTGACTTCCAAAGGTGAAATCCCTGTTCATGGGGAACATCTGTGTTGACTCCCTGGGAGGCAGGCCCTTCCTTCAGACCCTCAGACCCTCAGACCCTCAGATCTGTGTTTCCTCAATCTCAGCACCTGGTCTTTCATTTTGATTTTTTTTTAGAGACATGGTCTCGCTCTGTCACCCAGGCTGGAGTGCAGTGATGCCATCCTAGCTCACTGTCGCCTCGAACTCCTGGGATCCAGTGATCCTCCTGCCTCAGCCTCCCAAGTAGCTGGGACCACAGAAGCATGCCACCATGCCCAGCTAATTTTATTTTATTTTTTTGTAGAGACGAGATTTTACTACGTTGCCCAAGCTGGTCTCAAACTCCTGGCCTCAAGTAATCCTCCCACCTCAGTCTCCCAAAATGCTATTACAGGCATGAACCACCATGCCTGGCCTACTTTTTGAGCCAAAGAGGACATTTGGATGCAGGAGACTTTATGAAGTTTGGGGACAGCCAGAGAGTATGAATGGGTTATAAAGGAAGACTAGTTAGTGTTTCTCTCTCCTTGTTGCTTCCTGGCAGTCTCAGACTACCTTCCTGATACAGACAGAAGGCTCTGAGGACACGGTGGCCATAGCGGTATGCTGGGTATCTGGGGCAGCGGGTAGGGAAATACACAAGGAAACATGGCTGGCTTAAAACACAGACTAGAAGTCCATGGATTTCCTAATGGCATGAATGAAAAGGCTGCATGAGGCACTGGGGCTCAGGCATCTGGACTGCCCATCCTGTCAGAACCATTTGTCCCATGAGCTAGGTCAAGACAACTCTCACTTGTTTTGAGCTTAGGGTAAAACCTGACCTCTTTCAAAGTCCAGAGCAGGCAGCTGCTGAAAGCATGTTTGGTCAGAAGATTCCGTGTTCTTAACCGATGTCTACTGGCTGGGGGTCAGTTTTCCCTCCGGGCATCTGGGCATGGCTGGACTTGGGAAGGATTCACCCTGTCGACTCCAGAGAAGCTATCACATAAGCTCTGAAAACTCTTTTGCCTGAGCCTGCTCTTTGGAGACCTCTCTCTCAGCTAGGGGTAAGATGTTTTATTTTATTTTGAGATGGAGTCTTGCTCTATCACCCAGGCTGGAGTGCAGTGGTACAATCTTGGCTTACTGCAGCCTCCACTTCCCCGGCTCAACTGATCCACCTGCCTCAGCCTTCCAGGTAGCTGAGACTTCAGGCGCGTGCCACCATGCCCGGCTAATTTTTGTATTTTCTTAGTAGAGTCAGGATTTCTACTAACTGACTGACTGGTCTCCAACTCCTGACCTCAACTGATACACCCACCTTGGCCTCCCAAAGTGCTGGGATTACAGACACGAGCTACCGTGCCCAGCCTGCAAGATGTTTTAATTTCTCCTTTGTTCTCACCCTCTACAGCAGATGGGGCGCCAGGTACGCTGATTCAGTTCCTGGAGTCTCTTTATCACTACATCTGCCTCTTCCCTCACTCAAGCCTTGGTTGCAGCAATAACCCCCAACAGGTCAACGGGCCATGCTCTATACTGTGGCCAGAACTTTCTTTTCCAAGCATAACTCAAATCGCCATAATGTCCCCTTTTAAAAAAAACACTGTTAGGGACTCCCTGTTGCCATCTGAATAAAGTCTAAATTTCTTGTCATGCCACTCACCTCTCCCCACGGTCTGATCCCAGCCCACCTTTTCTCACCCTCCTCAGCCTTCCAAAGCCAGCCCCAATTTATCTTACATGCTCCCTGTCTGTGCCTTTCCTCTCTTCCCAATTCCTGACCAACTCTTACCTTCCAGAAGCTACCAGTAAAATCCCACCCATTTCTCAAACCTCAGAAATTTATGTCAGTTTCAAGACCGGTGTTCTCTCCATCAGATTATAACCTTTGGCCGGGCGTGGTGGCTCATTCCTGTAATCCCAGCACTTTGGGAGGCTGAGGTGCGTGGATCATTTGAGGTCAGGAATTCAAGACCAGCATGACCAACATGGTGAAACCCTGACTCTCCTAAAAATACAAAAATTAGCTGGGCATGGTGGCAGGCACCTGTAGTCCCAGCTACTCAGGAGGCCAAGGCAGGAGAATCGCTTGAACTGGGGGAGGCAGAGGATGCAGGGAGCTGAGATCGTACCACTGTAGTCCAGCCTGGGTGACAGAGCTTTTCTTGTCTAGAAAAAAGAAAAAAAAAAAGATTCTAACGTTCTGCATGAGAGGAACTGTGTTTTCCTTATCTCTGCATACTCTCCGGTGCCTTCCACACACTGGAGAAGCAAGACATGTTATAAGTTAAGTGAAATATTAAAATGCAGTAAGTTTTGAACCAGGTACTGTAACTGGGCATTTTGTGGGCATTGTCTCACTCAATCCACCTTGTTATACAGGTGGGTAGATAGACTCTAAAAGGTCAAGTGAGCCGCCCACAGCCATCTGCACCAACAGGGGCAGAATTAGGATTTGCACTCAGGTTGGCTCCCAAAATTCCATTTTGATGGGTCTGAAGCATCCCCCGGCAAAAGAAAGCCACCTGGCTGTCTCACTCCAGGGAAACCAAAGGAAGCCCTCTCTCCTCCCAAGGAGTTTAACTGTCATCTCTCTGCTTTTTCACGACACAAGGTGCGGGAACTGGATTCATAGTGATGGCAGGTGAGCATGATCCAGCGTTCCTATTTCAGGAGACGTCTCATTCCTCTCGACCAAACTCACTTTTGTGAAATGGGGTTGGAGCTGCTACAGGCCAATTCAGGGGGAAGAGGGAAATAAACGGGCCATAACCCGAACAACCCCCAAATACCCTGTCAACCCTATTTTGCCCATCCATTGGTTAATTCTATTTTGCACTTACGGTTGGCTACAAGGCCTGGATGAAAAGCCACCACAAGAGGGCAGTATTTCCCCATCCTGGATCTGAGCTAAACTCTAAATCTGGACTACACTCTGGTCCTTGATAGGTTACTCAACAGAGAGAGGCTTTTGGTATCAGGAATTCTGGCAAATGAAAGAAACACATCAGATCGCCCTCCTGCCTTCTAGCCTGGAGTTGTGAAGCAGCTTGTGTTGGGGATTGAAAGGTGTTTACTTACAAAAAAAAATCTTTCTGGAGAAGAAGGATGAATCCTGGTTATATAATCATTTCTTTGGACTCCTTGACAAAATGAGACAATGTTTCCATCTGTCTGCTACTAAAAGGGCAGGGACATGCAGAAAGGAGGTGCCTGGCACATCGTAAGCTCTTCTAAGTATTTATTCCCTGATGGAAAAGCATTCCTGCATAAAGCTTGACTTGGAGTGGGAAGCACTGATCAATTTCTCTTTGATGGGGATTGGACACAGCAGTTTCCTTCCCTGGGGAACTGGGAAGGCGTCTCCAAAGGTATAAAGGATTGGAAAGAAAGCCTTCTGGAGAAAAGCTACTAGGAGCTGGAACTGGGTTTGCAGGAAAGGAGTTTAGAATGGGCTTCCCTTCAGGATAGAAGGGGAATCTAAATGCATCAAATTCTGGGAATGCCCCTTTCATTGGGAGATAGCCCCCTTAATCAATTTCCCATCCTCTCCCCATGCCCTGAACCCTTTCTAACTAGAACAATTACGGGGCTTCCAAATGTTTCAGGTACATGGGCGTGGACCCTTAATTATGGACACGCGTGGGATTAATATGGGCCAGGGACATGTTTCTTGGCATCGAGGGTCTTCAATGAAAGCAGTGGCAATCTAACATCGACACACTTGTGCAGGGAAGGGGATGGAGAGAGAGTGTGGGATGCTAAGTCTTTGTTCTTTACATCTGTGGAAGACTGAGCAGGGGTAATTGTGATTAAAGGAAGGCAGGGGAGATTAAAGCTGGCATGAAGTCAAGCTCCACATGGCAGTAACGGGATACTGGCGGGGGCTGCCAGGGATGGTAGAGCAAGGTGAGACATAGATTGCCTTTTCACTTTAACAGTCTCCTGGCCTGGGTCCTTTGGGGTCTTGGTGCCCTCATTGTAAAGCCCTTTCAAAGAGGGCCAGTGCATTTCCTCTTTAGCGGGCACCCAAACTGAACACCAAGATATGCCCACGCACAGCATATAAAAGAAATGTGGTTTTTCTGTATGGCAAGACACAACAAACAGGGTAGAACCAGCAGAACATTCCCTTTCCATCCTTGGGGACCCTGCAGTCTGGGGGGCCACTAGGATTTCTTGTTTCTTTCTGGGAACTGCTTGACATTAATTCATAGTACTTAAAAAAGTATAAAAAGGGATCCCTTCCCACCATTTACTTTGAGAGAGTAAATTCAACAGGTTGCCTCTTAGGGAGAAATTGCATGGGCCCCAATTCCTGCCGAAGACTTGGCTGCCCATTTTTGATCTGAGTTGAGGATAATTTATTTGTTAAAATTACTTTAATAGGTTTAAAACTTTGGAGATCAACTGTAGAGGGCAACAAGCCTGAGGGCCAAGTTCTTCCCACCCCGAGTTGTGGTTCCTATTGAAGAAGCCACGTGGGACCTCATTGTGGCAACTCTCTCCAACCTCATCCACTTTAACAAGCTCCCATCATTTCATCCCCAAGGGTGAAGCAGCAAGCCCCCTTTGGGGGAATAAAAAAATAACAATCATATTGTTACTTGATATTGTTTCCAGGCACCAAAGCTTTAACATTTAATCCATTCATATTCTTTAGGTTCATATGACATTATGACTAGGAAAAACTGAGGACAAAGGACCCATCCAAAGTCACCCGGTGGCAAAGCGGAAGATCCTTATTGCCACTGGGCTTCTTTGGGCAACATAACTTCCGGACCCCTTGGTATTGCTGGAAGGGGGGACTCAATGGACGTGCACAAGTCGAGTGATTCTGGTTGGGATGGCTGGGTTTGGAGAGGGGATTTGCCCAATCCATTGGATGGGTTCATGTCACATGAGGGCTCTGCTCAGTGGTATCAGAATCTAAATGCATCAGATTCTGGGAATGCCTCTCTCATTGGGAGATAGCCCCCTTCATCAATTTCCCACTGCTCTCCCCATGCCCTGAACCCTTTCTAACTAGAACAATTACAGGGCTTCCAAATGTTTCAGGTACATGGGCGTGGACCCTTAATTATGGACACGCGTGGGATTAATATGGGCCAGGGACATGTTTCTTGGCATCGAGGGTCTTCAATGAAAGCAGTGGCAATCTAAGATCGATACATTTGTGCAGGGAAGGGGATGGACAGAGACCCAGCCCATCACACACGCATATACACACGCACGACCAAAATGTCATCATAAAAAAGGAGAAGGGACTTCAGCGGCTGAGGGACTGGCTCAGAGAGCTTGTGCCTAGTTCCTGCAGCCTTTCCAGGGGAACCCCAGAGAAAAAAACCCCCACAGCGACGGCCATGTTCCAGTGGTTTCATGCACCCGTGAGCTGCCCTTGTCAGCAAGAGAGGGGGCGGGAACAGAGTTTTGTAGGAGCCACTGCAGATTAGAAAAGCATTGCATCGCAGCAGGAAAACTCAAGGAGGAAACCCAGGAGGGTCGAGGAAACCACTGAGGGGCGAGAACCCCGAGGAGGGAAACCAGGGCACAGCGACAAGGACAGGAGGCAGAGCGAGGGCCACGCAGGGTCCCAGAGGAAGGTTCAGCAGTGTCTGTCCGCACTTATAAAACTGGCAGCCGGCTGGGCAAGAGGGTCCAGTTAGGAGCTGAAAACCCTGTGGAAGGAGAAGTCGGGGGCAGTTAGTGCTGCAGGGGCGAAGGTGCTGTGTTTCCTCTGAGTGTCCCAGAGAAAATCGCCCACGCTCTGGGCTCAGGGGCTTCGTCTCTTTCTTTCTTTTTTCTTTTGAGACAGAGTTTCGCTCTGTCACCCAGGCTGGAGTGCAGTGGCGCGATCCCGGCTCACTGCAACCTCCACCTCTCACTGAAATCCCAGCACGGTTCAAGTGATTCTCCTGCTTTAGCCTCCCAAGTAGCTGGGATTATAGGCGCCCATCACCATGCCAGGCTAATTTTTGTATTTTTAGTAGAGATGGAGTTTCACCATGTTGGCCAGGCTGGTCTCGAACTCCTGACCTCAGGAGATCTGCCTGCCTCAGGCTCCCAAAGTGCTGGGATTACAGGCATGAGCCACTGCACCTGGCCCATCTCTTTCATTTATTCTGTAGCCCTAGTGTCTTGGACAGGACCTGGCACCTAGCAGGGGCTTGTTTTGAAAGAAAGAAAGAATGAATAAGTGAATGAATGAATGCTCACAAATACAACTGGCCAGGAAGAGAAGCATTTCAAAGGACTTTTTTTTTTTTGAGACTGAGTCTCACTCTGTCGCCCAGGCTGAAGTGCAGTGATGCGATCTCGGCTGGTTACAACCTCCGCCTCCTGGGTTCAAGCGATTCTTGTGCCTCAGCCTCCTGAGTAGCTGGGATTATAGGCACATGCTACCACGCCTGGCTAATTTTTGTGTTTTTAGTAGAGACAGGGTTTTGCCATGTTGCCCAGGCTGGTCTTGAACTCCTAGGCTCAAGTGAGCCACCCATCTTGGCTTTCCAAAGTGCTGGGATTACAGGTGTGAGACACTGGGTCTGGCAAAAGGGTTTGTTTGTTTTTTTTTCTATTGAGACAGGGTCCTGCTCTGTTGCCTAGGCTGGGGTGCAGTGGTGCCATCATGGCTCACTGCAGCCTCAACCTCCCTGCGATCAGGCCATCCTCCTGCTTCAGCCTCCCAAGTAGCTGGGACCACAGGCGTGTGCCACCATGCCCTGCTAATTTTTAAATTATTTGTAGAGACAGGGTCTCCCTACGTCGCCCAGGCTGATCTTGAACTCCTGGGCTCAAGCAATTCACCCACCTCAGCTTCCCAAAGTGCTGGGATTATAGGTGTGAGCCACCACACCTGGCCTTAAACGCTTTTGACAACCCAGGGACTTGTGACCTTCAAGGCAATGATATGAGTCTACTGGTCACAACAGTATGTTTTCGAGACTGCTGTGTCATTGTAAGCGGAAAACAAGGAAGACGCCAAATTCAAGAAATGAGTGTATGCCTTGTGCTGCTGAAAAAAGAGACAGCTGAGTCCCCACCCAATTTAAAGTAAAGGGCATACAGGGGTGGTTTCCAGGGCTTTTATGGCAGGGACTGGGGCAGGGAGCTTTGGGAAATGAAATGACGATCAAGGTTGCTGTGCCACGGAATTCAGGTAAGGTTTAAATCATGAGACCCAGTCCCAGTCTCCTGGTGCCTCAGCCTGTTTCCAGCAGTTTCTAGAGGTTCAGTGAAATTGTCAAAATCATATGAAGTGTAATTTGTGTTGATGAGAAAGCCCCCAGCCATTTAGGGGGTGAGGGAGCCGCGGGAAAGGACACAAAAACTGAACTCCAGACCCCCACCCAGGTCCAAGGCGATCCCATTCTTCTCCCCACTCTCCACAAAAACTGAGCTCCCGACCTCTACCCAGCGCCAGGGGTGATCCCATTCTTCTCCCAACTTTCCTAAATGAGGAGCGTTCAAATACTTTTGTAGAAGAAACCCTTGCCCTAAATCTGATGCTAAACCCCAGTAGGTGAAAAACAAACAAGAAAGATACTTCTGGTGGAAATGTCACAGATCCGGCCAGGCGTGGTGGCTCACACCTATAATTCCAGCGCTTTGGGAAGCTGGGGCGGGCAGATCACTTGAGGTCAGGAGTTTGAGACCAGCCTGGCCAACATGGTGTCACCCCGTCTCTACTAAAAATACAAAACTTAGCTGGGCGTGGTGGCGCACGCCTGTAGTCCTAGCTACTTGGGAGGCTGAGGCACGAGAATCGCTTGAGCCTAGGAAGTTGAGGATGCAGTGAGCTGAGACTGTGTCACTGCACTCCAGCCTGGACTACAGAGCAAGACTCCGTCAAAAAAAAAAAAAAAAAAAAAAGCAACTTCCCAGAGCTAGGAGCCATCATTACACTAGGGGGTGCCCCAGACAGAAGCCTGCACCCAAAGCAGGGGTTTCCTCCCACACTGGACGGGGCCTCAGGGTTCCCCTGGAGGATTCGTTAAAATGCAAACTGCTGCATCCTAACTCCTAAGTTTCCGATCCAGCAGGTCTGGGGTGGCCTGAGAATCTGCATTTTTTAACATATTCCCAGATGGTGCTGATGTTGCTGTTTTGGGGACTCTACTGTGGGAAAGCCAGACATCCCTACCCAGTAGGACCTAGAAGAGCGGGCTCTTCCCGCCCCTCACCCAGGGATGGAGCCAGCTTACTCATCAGTGTCTTTTTTGCTCTCTTCAATGAAGGCAATGGACTCAGATCTAAGGCGGTTGGTCACTTCATACGTTCGCAGGGTGACTCCGAAAATATCCTCATGGTACCGGTTGTCATCCTAGAAGATAGAAAGAGCCAGAAAACAGCTCTCAAATGCCAGATAAAGGCTTGGAGCAGGGACAGACTCGCCTGACACCTGGAACGGAATATCCCTTAGGAAGATGGTTCCCAAAGAGATGAGGCTGAAGCCAGTGTCCCCGAGGTACCTTTGATCTCGAAGACTCTGCTCAGCAAAACTGTTCTCTGGGATGTGCGGCAACTGTTCTCTGGGATGTAGCCCAGTTGGCAAAGAACATTTAGGTTGCCATCTGGAAACACTGCAGCTGGTTGGTGGATTCTCAGGTGAAAAGGAGTGATGAGGTCAAATGGAAACCTCACCATTCCCCGCTTTCCTCCCTCCAACGTGTTCCTGCAAGTTCAGATCTGGGCAAGGCTGGGTTTAGTGTGAAATAGCCCATGAGACCAGAAGAAAGGGGAGGAAGGAACAAGTGGCCGCTTAGCACTCAGGGAACTCCCCATAGCTGCCCACAGTGGAGACTCCTTGGGCATGCATGAGTTTCTCTGAAGATGAACATCTTTGCTCAGCATTGCCCAGAGAGAAGCAGGCAAAGAGAAGAACCTACCATTGAGTCCCAGGAAACAGCCCAAGTGATGACTGACTTGTGACATCTGCAAATTTACCAAGTCATGGGAGCTCCTGTGGCGGGCAATCAATATTCTCAAAGGGCAAGGGGATTAAACAAGGGGAAAAGGCACCTCAGTGCTGGGGAAGGGCAGTGGCTGGCAGCGTGCATCTGGCAAGCCAGGAAGAATCTGTTGTGCACTAGGTTCCAGCCTCCCTTGGTCCTGAAAGTTTTGAAGAAAGTCACCCATCTGTAGAGTGGGTTCATTTTCATTTTCAGTTGGGGTTTTTATTTTATTTTATTTTTTTTTGAGACAGAGTCTCGCTCTGTTGCCTGGGCTGGAGTACAGTGGCGCGATCTTGGCTCACTGCAACCTCCGCCTCCCGGGTTCAAGCGATTCTCCTGCATCAGCCTCCTGAGCAGCTGGGACTACAGGCATGCGCCACTACGCCCAGCTAATTTTTGTATTTTTAGTAGAGACGGGGTTTCACCATGTTAGTTGGCCAGGATAGTCTTGCTCTCTTGACCTTGTGATTCACCTGCCTTGGCCTCCCAAAGTGCTGAGATTACAGGCGTGAGCCACTGCGCCTGGCCCCCTTTTTTTTTTTTTTTGGGATGGAGTTTCACTCTCGTCACCCAGGCTGGAGTGCAATGGCACGATCTTGGCTCACTGCAACTTCCACCTCCTGGGTTCAAGTGATTCTCCTTCCTCAGCCTCCCGAGCTGGGACTACAGGTACCCACCACCATGCCTGGCTAATTTTTGTATTTTTAGAACAGACAGGGTTTCACTGTGTTAGTCAGGCTGGTCTTGAACTCCTGACCTCAGGTGATTCTCCTGCCTTGGCCTCTCAAAGTGCTGGGATTATAGGCTTGAGCTACTGAGCGCAGCTGGAGTGAGTTTTTAACTCCCGCAAAATCCTGGGGAATCTATAAGTGTCTCTCGAGGGTCACACGAAAGAGACTGAGTATATAGAGGGCTCCACAGCTCTCCTCGGATCTGTTTGTGCAGTGCTCAACCTGTACAACTACACGGGGCAGTGCTGCAGCTTCTGAGGCAGGAGAAGTTAGGTTAGAATGGTTTCTGTCTAGTTACCAGAGGTCCATTCACTTGTTATTTTCACACACGGCCTCCAGTCATATTTACTACACCTGCCTGCATGCCCAGCCATCCTTCTACTTTCTCTGTCATTGTTTGGGGCCACCTATATCCTCTACCCTCAGTGGTAAGTGCAGTGAATGGGAGCAGGGATATCATCGTGGCTCCCTAATCATCAAGACAGGTTGGATGAAAAAGGGGGGATAGGAGAGTGGATATAGGAAAAGGGACCTGGGAAGCCAGCCTGTCACTCACCCTCATCCGACTGATGAACACGCCGGCGTCCTCTGCCGAGAGCTTCCCCTGCTGGGTCATGATGCGCTGGATGGCTTTGAGGACATCAGCGGCCATGGTGACGTCCCCACAGACGTAAATGTGGCCCCCTTGCTCCTTCAGGGCTCGGTACACAGACTCCGCCAGCTGCTCCTGCAGGATGTCCTGCACGTACTTCTGCAAGGAGCAGAGGGCAGTGAGAAGGGGCTGGGCTGTACAACATGCCTGCCATAGCCCGTGTCCTCCCGGGAAGCAGAGCCTGACTCAGGGGCTTGTGGGCAGGTAGGATCTTTTGTGAGCTGATCCCAAGGAACAAGAGTAGGGGACTGGGAAGAGTGAGATAGGGAAGACGGGAAAGTCAATTGGAGGGTGCAGGAATGCATTGCTACCCTCTTTGGACAACTGGAGCTCAGCTCTGCTAAGGACCCTCCAGGGAGCTGGACAGACTGCTTCCCAGAGTCATCCACTGCAGAGGGGAAAGACGGGGAACATTCACTATCCACTCCTCTCTCCTGGTGGCCAATGGTCCCTGGGCGTTAACACCTGCACACGTCCAGGTGTGCGGCTGGTTACTGCAGGCATCCTACGTTAGAGTGCCAGGGAAGCCCGGGGCCGATAGCAAGAGATGGGAGTGAGGTGAGGGGCCGGCTGCTGTAGCAATAGCAGAAGGAAAAGGTGGGCTGAGAGGGTGTGAGGTGGGCACAAGGGGTGTCTAGTACAGCTCCAGGGAGCTCATTGGTTCAGGATATCTTTAATTTGTCCAGGAAACTCCCGCTCTGAAGCTGATATTCAGCTGGAACATGCTGGCATGGCTGTAGTGACTCTTAAGACTGACATACTTCCACCCACACTGCTTGGACTCTCTGGGTGCCCCCCAACCCACTGCAATGTCCTGACTCCTTTCCTGGGACCCTCAGACCTCCCCAAGAGCCAATGGAGCTTTAGTCCTGTGGTCCATGTCCATTCTGACTAGTATTGCCTCTCGTGGACTGTTAAATTTCTATGTATGTATGTATGTATGTATGTATGTATGTATTTATGAGACAGAGTCTCGCTCGTTGCCCAGGCTGGAGTGCAGTGGGATGATCTCGGCTCACTACAACCTCCGCCTCCCGGGTTCAAGCCTTCCTCCTGTCTCAGCCTCTTGAGAAGCTGGGACTACAGGCAAGCGTCACCACACCCGGCTAATTTTGTGTTTTTTTGTTTTTTCTTTTTTTTTTTTTTGTAGAGATGGGGTTTTACCATGTTGGCCAGGCTGGTCTCAAACTCCTGGCCTCAAGTGATCCACCCACCTCAGCCTCCCAAAGTGCTGGGACTACAAGCATGCGCCACTGCACCCAGCTAATTTTTATATTTTTATTAGAGATGGGGTGTTACCATGTTGGTCAGGCTGGTCTCGAACTCCTGACCTCAAATGATCTGTCTGCCTTGGCCTCCCAAAGTGCTGGGATTAAAGGTGTGAACCACCGCACCCAACCTAAATTTATTTTTTTTAATTTCTGTTTTTAAATATTTTAAATTTTTATTTCTAATCATTTATTGTTTAGAGACAGAGTCTTGGTCTGTTGCCCAGGGTGGGTTGCAGTGGCATGATCACGGCTCACTGAAGCCTTGACCTCCCAGGCTCAAGCTGCCCTCGTACCTCAGCCTCCCAAAGAGCTGGGACCACAGTCATACGCCACCATGCCCAGCTAACTTAATTTTTTTTTTTTTTTTTTTTTGTAGGGACAGGGTCTAAGCATCTTGCGCAGGCTGGTCTTGAACTCCCAGACTCAAGTGATCCTCCCACCTCAGCCTCCCAAAGTGCTGGGATTACAGGTGTGAGTCATGGTGCCTGGCCCAACATTTTTCATTACAGTAAAATACACATCATGTAACATTTACCATTGTAACCACTTTAAAGTGTATGACTCAGTGGCATTAAGTACCCTTCTCAGTGTTATGGGATCATCACTATCTGGTTCCAGAACTTTTTTCTTTACCCCAGATGGAAACCCTATACCCATTTGCAGTTACTCCCCACTCTCCCCTCCCTCAGCCCCTGGCAACCACTAATCTACTCTGTCTCTATGGATTTGCCTATTCTGGATATTACATATAAGTTGAATCTTATAATATAGGCTTGTTAAATACTTTATCACATATATATTTTTGAGATGGAGTCTTGCTTTGTTGCCCAGACTGGAGTGCAGTGGCACGATCTCAGCTCACTGCAACCTCTGCCTCCTGGGTTCAAGTGATTCTCCTGCCTCAGCCCGCCAAGTAGCTGGGACTACAGGTATGCACCACCATGCCTGGCTAATTTTTTCATTTTTAGTAGAGATAGGGTTTCACCATGTTGACCAGGCTGGTCTTGAACTGCTGACCTCAAGTGATTCACCCGCTTTGGCCTCCCAAAGTGTTGGGATTACAGGCGTGAGCCACTGTGCTCGGCCTGTTAAATATTTTATGTAGATATTTTCCCTACCCATGCTTTCTGAAGTACAGAGCAACTTCACAGAGGGGAAATCAGGAAGCTTAAGAGTGAGGGTGAGGGGTTTCTGAGAGTGGGATGTACAAGTGTGTACACACATGAGTGTGCACCAGCGTGCACATGTGTTGGGCTGGGCTGGGGGATGCGCTGCTGGGGGTTACCTTTGGTTTGTCTGGCTCCCGGGAGTAAGCCGTGTACAGCTCTCTGAAGACCCCCTTGTTCTTGGCCTGCAGGGTCTCTTCCCTGTAGATATGATCTATCTTGGATTGCCGGCACCCGAAGACCAGGACCATGGGGCAGGGGTTCATTCCTGGGGACCGGAAGGACCTTATGTCACCGATGGCTCTCTGCCTGATGTGTGGGGTGGCTGAGGTGCCAGGGATGGGGTACTGAGACCTTAGCGTGCGCCATGCGGATAGAGGCTCACGAACACTGGGGCAGGCAGATGAATGCGTGCACACACATGTACACAGGTGGGTGCTCACATGCTCACACATGCACACACACTGAGGAAGGAGGTGAAGTGTGTTCAACTTTAGTGGACCTCCCTCCCAGGTCTCAATCCTTCCTTCTGCTCCTTGACTACTCAGGAGCCGCCACCTGATGCCCAGACTCTGGAGCTGGATGGCCTGGATTGAAATCTCAGCTCTGTGATGAACAACTTAGTCAACTTTTTTTGTTTTTTGTTTTTTGTTTTTTTGAGATGGAGTCTTGCTCTGTCACCCAGGCTGGAGTGCAGTGGCGCGATCTCGGCTCACCGCAACCTCCGCCTTCTGGGTTCAACCGATTCTCCTGCCTCAGCCTCCCGGGTAGCTGGGATTACAGGCGCCTGCAACCATGCCCGGCTAAGTTTTGTATTTTTAGTAGAGACGGGGTTTCACTGTGTTGACCAGGCTGGCCTCAAACTCCTGACCTTGTGATCCGCCCGCCTTGGCCTCCCAAAGTGTTGGGATTATAAATGTGAGCCACTGCGCCTGGCCTTTTTCTTTTTATTATTACTATTATTATTAAGATAGAGTCTCACTATGTCGCCCAGGCTGGAGTGCAGTGGTGTGATCTTGGCTCACTGCAACCTGCAGAGTGAAACCTGCAGAGTTTCACTCTTGTTGTCCAAGTTGGAGTGCAATGGCACTATCTTGGCTCACTGCAACCTCTGCCTCCCAGGTTCAAGTGATTCTCCTGTCTCAGCTTCCTGAGTAACTTGGATTACAGATGTGGGCCACCATGCCTGGCTAATTTTGTATTTTTAGTAGAGACAGGGTTTCACCATGTTGGCCAGTCTGGTCTCAAACTCGTGACCTCAAGTGATCCACCTGCCTTGGCCTTCCAAAGTGCTGGGATTACAGGTGTGAACCACCACATCCAGCCACAATGTACTCAACTTTCTAAGCCTCTGCTTCCCTATTTGCAAAATGGAAATAACAGGACTGTTGTTGAGAAATGAATGTGAAACATTACAACTCTGCCTGATACCTGGCAAGTACTTTATAAATGTTAGCTATTCCACTACAATGACAGTTCCATGGGGGCAAGTTTTTACTGACTGATTGATTGATTGATTTGTTTTTGTAATCATCCCTTGAATCCATGGAAAGGTTTTCATTTCTATTTTAGTTGTTTTTCTGTCTTGTTCACTGCTATGCTCCAACACCTCCAAGAGTGTTTGGCACTTATTAGGTGCTCAATAAATCCTTGTTTAATGCATGCTACAATTTGGGTTTCTTTCTCTCTCCTGCCGAAGCTGATCTGCTGTGTCTTTCACACAGCACTTGCTCTTGAATAACAGTCTTTGCGATAATTACAAAAGCATAGCCATTTGATAAGGACTAACGCCCACCTTTTCCAGGCTATTGGATTATTTTTTTGAAGGGATCACATCTTAACAAATGTCCTCTGGGCCTGGAATTTCAGGCCCCTGGGACAGGCTGTTTGGATTACACCGTGAACTTCACCTGTGGGTCAGGCTGGTGCTACACGCCCCGGCTTTTCTGAGGCAGTGACGCCATGCAGAGACACCTTCACTGTTCTCTAGGGCTGCTGAGACACAGCTGGACCTCCCCAGGTCTGGGGGTGGGAACCAGGCAGCCGCTGGACTGTAACCCACCTTTGTGTTGGATATCAAATTGCCGCTGTTGCCAGAAGCTTCGGAAAGGTGCGATGCCGGTGCCCGGTCCAACGAGGATGCACGGGACTTGGGGGTTCCGGGGCAGGTGGAAGCTGGGTGCTCTGGGCAAGGAAGAGGGGGTCAGAAGTCTTGAAGAGGTCAAATCCAATCAAGAACAACTGAATCCTAGGTAGACCAGGCGGCCGTCTTTGGTAGACATACAATGAGACTTACGGCTCTTCAGCCGGGGCCAGGTGCCCCTTTTCAGGGTGGGAGTCTCACCGATTAAGGGAATTCCAAAAATGGGGGGTCCTCAGGGTCTGGCTATTCCTCCATTCCCCAATTCTTCTCACTGCTGGGCTCAGCCAATTCGACCCAGAGTATCTCTACATTGGCACCATTGAGACTTGGGGGTGGACCTCCTTGGTCGTGGCACTGTCCTGTGCATTGTAGGGTATTGAGCAACATCCCCGGCTTCCAGCCACGAGGTGCCAGGAGTACACGTGAGTTGTGACAACCCAACATGTCTTCAGACTTTGTCAAATGTCCCTGGGTGGCAGGGATGGGGTGGGGCGCTGCAAAAATCACCCTGGTTTGAGAGCCACCATTTTTTAATTTATTTTTTCTTTTTTCTTTTCTTTCTTTCTTTTTTTCTTCTGAGGCGGAGTCTCACTCTGTCACCCAGGCTGGAGTGCAGTGGTGTGATCTTGGCTCACTGCAACCTCCAACTCCCGGGTTCAAGCAACTCTCCTGCCTCGGCCTCCCAAGCAGCTGGGATTATAGGCGCCTGCCACCACCCTCGGCTACTTTTTTTTTTGTATTTTAGTAGAGATGGGGTTTCGCCATGTTGGCCAGGCTGGTCTCAAACTCCTGACCTCAAGTGATCTGCCTGCCTTGGCCTCCAAAAGCGCTGGGATTATGGGCGTGAGCCACTGCACCCAGCCCAGAGCCACCGGTTTAACCAACAATGAAATCTTTAAATCAAGGAGTCACAGACTTCAGTGTGTAAAAGAATCACCTGGGGATGTTCAAGATGCAGATTCCTGGGCCATGCAGTACATCTGGGCTCAGGACTCTATGTTTGAAACACCACAGAGGACTCTGATGTCACTGATATTTGGATCGTTTTCAATGGCACGTGGACCATATTGTGAACATTCTAACCTCAGTGGTTGAGAAAAAGGATTGGCTAAAGCCACTGTTCAGGTAGAGAAGCTATTGATTGACAAAACAGGTTAACTATAACTGGTCTAAGGTCAGCGATCGCCTTTAAAGCTGAGTTTGGGAGGAAAGGCGCCAATGAATGGGGGTGATTGGATTTTTTCCATCGCTAGGAAACTGGGACTGATTGGGAGTGACCAGCAGAATTTGGCTAGAATTTCCACTAGCCCATACAGTCCATGAAGGCGGAGACTGTGTTTGCGGGGTTTTCCCCGATAGCTCCGGCATCTGGCCCAGTACACGCCCAAGTGAAATGTGCGTTGCATTGACTTGACATTGACCAGAGGACTTGCCTAGCTTGCTGTGCTGCTCTGATCTTGTTTCCTTAACAACTAAGACAGACGCAGGACATTGGTCTCCATTGTGTGCCACCCAGTCACCTCTCTAGAACCTTTCAGACCGGTCCACCTACTCCACTTGCAACATCAATATGCAGATTTGAGATGATTGCTCATTTTTCTCCACTTATTACTCACCCTCTCACGAAACAGGGGACCACTTCGTCAGCCTGTATCCGGTTGAGCCAGGAGGAGCACACGCCATGGTGAATTGGTCCTTCTCCATCTAGCAGAATAACCAAGAAAGTCAGGGCCACCCACTGCTCTGAAGCACGGCCTCCCCTCCTCCCTCCAATGCAAAATGCTCACAGGCCCAGTGCCAAGTTTATCCTTTGGAATTCCTCCCCAGGATCCCTTCCTCTGAAGGGCAAGAGGAAACGGTATAGCTGGGGTGACTTCATGCCTGTGCAACCACCCAGGGTTCTATAGGGTAGGATTCAAATCCTTCCCTATAGAAGGATGCTTTTGGTGGCTTGCTGGACTCCTGGGACGGGCACTGTGCATTTTAATTGCTTTATCTAGGAGGAAAAAGACAGGGCAGAGCTTGGGTTATCTGACTTACAACCAGCTGGGCATGATACAGCAGAGTGCTCTCCCAGGGAATGAGTGGTGGTGGCTTGTTCTAGCTGGTGCTTTGGGGATATGAGGGGGCACCATTGCAAATACACGTCTTGCCTCTTTCCTAATTCTGCTCAGGCTTGGCTCTGCATCAGGGGACAGTTCACCTGCTGCTTCTTCCCCCAGTTTTCTGGTCTTGGGGGTGTGTCTCTTCCCAGGGATTTGGGATTTAGCCTGCAGGCAGTGGTTTAGGGAGCCCTCCAGAGGCCCCTTGGGGGAAAATGCAGCCGAAGAGGCTCTCCCAGTGCCTCCGCCCACCTCGAGTGCGGTAGGAAACGATGGCCACAGTGAGGTGCACTTCATCAGGGTACATGTCTGGGGAGGAGCTGATGGAATAGTAGCGGGGCTGCAGCAGGGACAGCTGGGTCAGGAGCAGGGTGGCTGGCATCTGGATGGATGGGAACTCCTCCAGCACCTCCACGATGGTGGGGTTCTTGCCCCATTTCCATTCCTCGTACTCCTGCAAACCCTGTGCCAAGGAGACGGACAGAGACAAGCTTGAACCCAGCTGCTACATAGTTCCCATGAGGACCTGAGGGGGTCCAAGAAGAAGGCAAAGTGAAAGTAACAGTTGGCAGGTATGCTGGCTCATGCTGGTAATCGCAGTGCTTTGGGAGGCTGAGGAGAGAGAATCACCTGAGACTAGGAGTTCAAGGCCAGCCTGGGAAACATAGTAAGACCCTGTCTCTACGAAATTTAAGAAAAATTAGCTGGATGTGGTGGTGGATGTCTGCAGTACCCCAGTTACTTGGGAGGCTGAGGTGGGAGGACTGCTTGAGTTCAGGTGCTTGAGGCTGCAGTGAGCTAGGATCACACCACTGTGCTCCAGCCTGGGTGACAGAGTGAGACCCTGTTGACAGAAAGAAAGAAAGAGAGAGAGAGAGAAAGGAAGAAAGCAAGGAAGGAAGGAAGGAAGGAAGGAGAAGGAAAGAAAAAGACAAAGAGAAGAAAAAGAAAAAGAAAGAGCAATAACAGTTAACACTTGAATAGCAATTATTCTGTGCTGTTTTGATTCTCATGAGGACCTTATGAAATAGGTATTACTGTTTCCCCATTTTATATATGAGGAAACTGAGGGTGATAGAGGTCCTATGGCTACTAGGTGGTGATGCTGGGTGAAACTGAGCCTTGCTCTAGACAGTGTGTCTTCAGAATTTGTGTTTCTAGTCACTACACACTCCTGAAGTCAAGAGAGACGCACTATGGAAGGGAGTCATGACTCACGCGGGGAGTGGCAGCATTCAGTGGAGACCTGTGATTTGTTGGTTGCAGAATCTGGAGATGCATCTTTGGAGAGCTTGGGTCATGTTCATGGCGGTGAGTGACAGCCCCGGAAAAATCAGGTTGGGGTGTGTGGAGGACCATGTTTGGGGACGTGTTGACAGCAAAGCCCAGCTGTAACCAGGCAACAGAAGAACTCTCTGGAGCTCTGGAGTTATTTTTCCTTAATCTCAGAAGATGCCCTAGGCAGTCTCTGGTTGCTGGAACAGAAGGCTCAGTTTCTGAGACCAGCGTGCCAGTGCACTGTGTAACAAAGATTTTCCCCATGTTTCTAAAGACTGTCCTGGCCTTATTTATTTATCTATTTTTTATTTATTTTTCATTTTTTATTTTTTGAGATGGAGTCTCTCTCTGCTGCCCAGGCTGGAGTGCAGTGGCATGATCTTGGCTCATTGCAAGCTCCGCCTCCCAGGGTTCACGCCATTCTCCTGCCTCAGCCTCCCAAGTAGCTGGGACTATAGGCGCCCGCCACCACCTCCAGCTAATTTTTTGTATTTTTAGTAGAGACGAGGTTTCACCATGTTAGCCAGGATGGTCTCAATCTCCTGACCTTGTGATCTGCCCACCTCGGCCTCCCAAAGTGCTGGGATTATAGGCGTGAGCCACAGTGCCCGGCCTGTTCTGGCTTTATTAATAGGCGATGGCATCCTTGACATCGTGCTTCTCAGACCTCCAGCCTGACTGGCCTGCAGTTGCAGGAGCAAAATGGACAAAGAGCCCTGGCCTCTCAACTCTTTGAAACTGACATTACCTGAAACTGACATCCATCACCCTGTTGGTGCCAGGCCTGGCTTCCCGCAGGCCACTCCCTGCCAATGACCAAGCACAGGAGTCTCCAGGACTCCTCAAGAACCCTGCTGGGCCTTCCTGAAACTGCACTGCAGTCTAGAACTTTCTCGTCCCACCTTTCTTCCTTTTCCTTTGGCTGGGGTTAGATTTGTTTTGAGGTCTGATGGTTCTCCCAGCCTTATCTGATCCCTTTCCACTTTCTGTCACACAAGTGTTTCCCCTAATAAAAATCCTTGCTCATTTAATCCTGTCTTGAAGTCTGCACTTTTTGGAAGAAATGAACTAATACACATGGGTTATATCAAATTCTATCTATCTATCTATCTATCTATCTATCTATCTATCTATCAATCAATCAATCATCTATCTAGAGACAGATTCTTGCTCTGTCACCCAGGTTGGAGTGCAGTGGCGTGATCTCGGCTCACTGCAACCTCCATCTCCTGGGTACAAGCAATTCTCCTACCTCAGTCTCCTGAGTAGCTGGAATTACTGGTGCCCATCACCACGCCCAGCTAATTTTTGCATTTTTAACAGAGACAGGGTTTCGTCACGTTGGCCATGCTGGTCCCGAACTCCTGACCTCAGGTGATCCGCCTGCCTCGGCCTCCCAAAGTGCTGGGATTACAGGCATGAGCCACTGCGCCCGGCCTATTATTTATTTATTTATTTATAGAGATGGGGTCTTGCTCTTTCACCCAGGCTGGAGTACAGTTGGAAGATCGTGATTCACCATAGCCTCGAACTCCTGGGCTCAAGTGATCCTCCCACCTTAGCCTCCTGAGTAGCTGGTACTACAGGCATGTGCCATGATGCCCAGCTAATTTAATTTTTTTTGTAGAGATGGGGTCTATGTTGCCCGGGTTGGTTCCAAACTCCTGGCCTCAAGCAATCTTCCCATCTCTGCCTCCCAGAGTGCTGGGATTATAGGCATGAGCCACTGTGCCCAAATTCTACTTTAAATAAGGTAAAAACAGTGCAATCTAATAAGGTACCAACAGGGCAATCTACGGTCCTTCTTCCTATTAGCCACCCTCCCCCATTCATTAAAAGTTTTAAATCAAAATTATACTTGCAGATAGTCTAAAAAGTTAAATAACTTTGTAAAGCTTATGATTAAAAATAATGGTCTCCTGTTCTACCTCTGCCATCTGCTTCCAGCTCCCCGGAGGTAACTACTTACAGCTCTTTAAGTGTTCCTTCTGGTATTTATTTTCATATTTCTAAATACTACGCACTCGCTAATTAGCCTCTTCCTTGCTGCTCACCGTTCAATCCCCTCTCCTGGACGGTAGAAGAAAGCTAAGCCATCCTGTGCTGGGGGCTTGCTTGCTGGGAAGGAGCCCCCATTGGGAGCAGCGTGGGCCGTTCTCCTCGGTAGAATTCTCACTGAGCAAGGCTTTGCAGTGGGCTGCGGCAGGTGATCCCAGGATTTCTAAGCAAGGTGGTAGAGGCTACGTTTGGTTCATTTTACAATCAGAGACCTCTGATCTCTAGTAGTCCCACCTGCAGCTCCTCTCCATTGGCAAAATCTCATCATAGCAGCCACATGGATGGAACTGGAGGACACCATGTTAAGTGCAAGAAGCCAGGCACAATAAGACAAATTTTGCATGTTCTCACTCATTTGTGGGAGCTAAAAACTAGAAGCAAATAAAGTCATGAAGACGGAGAGTAGAAGGAGGGTTACCAGATGAAGGGAAGGGTAGTGGGGAGGGGTGGGGGAAAGTGGAGATGGTTCATGGGTACAAAAACACAGTTAGATAGAAGGAATAAGATCTAGGCTAGGCATGGTGGCTCATGCCTTTAATCCTAGCACTTTTGGGAGGTTGAGGTGGGTGGATCACCTGAGGTCAGGAATTTGATGGTGAAACTCCATCGTTACTAAAGAAAAAAATACAAAAATTAGCTGGCCATGGTGGCAGGTGCCTGTAATTCCAGCTGCTCGGGAGGCTAAGGCACGAGAATCTTTTGAGCCTGGAAAATGGAGGTTGCAGTGAACCGAGATTGTGCCACACGGCACTCCAGCCTGGGCTAGAGAGTGAGACTCTGTCTTAGGGACAAAAAAAAACCAAAACAAACAAACAAAAAAAACTACTATTTCCTAGATCTAGACAAGGTGACTATCATCAACAATAATTCATTATATATTTAAAAATAACTAAAAGAGTGGAATTGGAATGTTTCCAACACAAAGAAATGATGAATGATTGAGGGGATGAATACTCCCTTTGCCCCGATGTGATTATTACACATTGTATACCTGTATCAAAATATCACATGTACCCCATAAATACATACACCTACCAAGTACCCATAAAAATTAAAAAAACAACAAACAAGAAAAAACCTCATCTTTAAACCAAGGCATGGTGAGATCCTGTTTCTTTTTCTCCTAAGGATGGGCTAAGATGGCACTAATGGAAGCCCAAGGCTCCAAAGGAGGACAGAAAGAATAGTAATTTCAGTTGTAGCCAGGGGACTGTTTGATTCAAGGGAGTCACTCTTGCTCTGCCAGGCCTTAGAACTGGGGGCAGACCAGCCACATTGGACCAGCCAATATGGCGACCTACAGCAAATAATGGCCCCCTTGGCTCAAGACTGCCATCTGCTGGAAGCCTGGTAATAACAGTTTTCAATTCTTTAATGACGAGGAGGTGAAAGGCACTGCCCAGGGTTGTGGGAAGCCTGAGGACCCACCTTGCTGAGGACCAGCAGACGCTGCTTCTCCTTCTCGTTGGTGGCTAGGGAGGCAAACTGCTGCAGCTGCAGGGGCGTTGGTGGCGTGGTGATGTCCAGGTAGTACTTGAAGGCCTGGAAGATGGTGCAGGGTGGGAGGCGGTGCTCATCTGTCCAGTTACTGATGACGCCTGTGGAGGTACAAGGCGGGTGAGGGGTGGGTGTGGGAGGGCTTGAGTCTAAGTCGGGGGTTCAGGTCTGCTCCTGGAGCAGAGGATGGGGCCAGGTGAGGAGGGTGGCTCCAGAGCCAAGCAACCTTCTAGCTCTCCCCCTTCCATGCCCAGAATCCATGTGTGCACGAAGCAAATCCAAAATTAATTAGGCAAATGAATCCAAAAATTAAGAAAAATATATGAAGAGAGGAGAAAAATATTAAAATAGCATGACATAGTCCACTGGCGTTCTATACAATGAGCCCCCAGCTGTGCGTGACAGAGATAAGCCTATTTCGGCCCCATGTATCATGGCATGGTATCAGCCTCTCACCCCCTGAATGGGATGTTAGTGTTTGTCATTATAAACACTAACACTTATCTAGCACATTCTATATGCCGAGTACTATTATTAGCATTTTATATTAATTCATTTAATCATCACAACAATCCAAGACAGTGTTATTCTTCTCCCCGCTGAGAAAAATAGAAGCACAGAGAGGTTAAGAAATTTGCCCAAGGTCACACAGCTCATAAGCGTGAAGTCAGGCAGTGTGGCTTCAGACCTTGTTCTGACTACTATATTGTACTCCCTCTATATACTCTTCCTCCAACATGTCCCTAAATATAAGCCTCTCCTCCATCAGGGGTTCGATCCCAAATGAAAAGCTCTATTTCAACATAGAGGAAGTATTGTCTGGGTTGGATTTATTTTATTTTATTTTATTTTATTTATTTATTTTTTTAGACTGGGTCTCACTCTGTTGCCCAGGTTACAGTGCAGTGATGCGATCACAGCTCACTGTAGCCTTGAACTCCTGGGCTCAAGTGATCCTCCCACCTCACGCTCCTGAGTAGCTGGGACTACAGACGTGAGCCACCATGCCCCACTAATTTTTTTTTTTTTTTTTTTTTTTAGATGGAGTCTCGCTCTGTCATCCAGGCTGGAGTGCAATGGTGCGATCTTGGTTCACTGCAACCTCTGCCTCCCGGGTTCAAGCGATTCTCCTGCCTCAGCCTCCTGAGTCGCTGGGATTACAGACATGTGCCACCATGCCCAGCTAATTTTTTGTATTTTTAGTAGACACGGGGTTTTGCCATGTTGGCCAGGCTGGTCTCGAACTCCTGACTTCAGGTGATCCACCCACCTCGGCCTCCCAAAGTGCTGGGATTATGATTACAGGCATGAGCTGCCGCACTCAGCCTGATGCCTGGCTAATTTTTGCATTTTTTTGTAGAGATGCAGTTTCACCATGTTCCCAGGCTGGTCTCAAACTCCTGGGCTCAAATGATCTGCCTGCCTCAGCCTCCCAAAGTGTTGGGATTACAGGCGTCAGCCACCTCACTCAGCCAGGATTTATTAAGAGAGGGTATGTCTCAGCCGGGTGTGGTAGCTCATGCCTGTAATCCCAGCACTTTGGGAGGCCAAGACGGGTGGATCACCTGAGGTCAGAAGTTTGAGACCAGCCTGGCCAACATGATGAAATCCCCGTCTCTGCTAAAAATACAAAAAATTAGCTGGTGTGGTGGCATGCGCCTGTAATTCCAGCTACCCAGGAGGCTGAGGCAGGAGAATCACTTGAACTTGGGAGGTGGAGGTTGCAGTGAGCCGAGATTGCACCACTGCACTCCAGCCTGGGTAACAAGAGCAAAACTCTGTCTCAAAAAAAAAAAAAATAAAAATAAAAATAAAAAAGAGGGTGTGTCTCTAAAGTAGTGTCTTCCTGAGAGGTTTTCAGCAGGGCTTTGACGATATGCTACTTTCACATTCTATCCTGACTTCACATCCTAGCTCTTTTGTAAAAGTGACAGTCCTGTATTGGTCTGCCAGGTAAGGTCACTGCAGTTCCTCGTACCTGACCCTTGAGCCCACCTGTGCTCCTGGATGAAGCACTGAGACCCATTCGCCTTTGAAAGTTCTTCAATATGAAAGTCAAGGGTGGACACTTAAGCAGGCGAGAACCTGATCTAATGAGGTAAAACATGTGGGCTCGATCCCTAGTTGGCCATCGAGCTTCCTATAGTACCTTTTGATTCTAAGAGGAGGCAGGATCAGATTTCTGCTGTTATTTACTTGGTGGGCAATGGGGTACTAGAGATTTTCCTAAGGGGTAGTGGTGAGGATGGAAAGTGAAGAGTGGCTACTGCTAACATCCATGTCTAGTCAATGAAGGAAGGTAGCGGCCCCCTTCTCCCAATGGTGAGCCATCGATGGCCTGGCACCATGCGCATTTATTTGCTCAGCTGGTTGGCCCAAGGTTGATCAGCCATGAGAAAGAAGAAAATCTTCAGTCTCATCGGCTGCTAGCAACAGAGACCCACTCTCTTGCCTGGAATGGTGATTGGGAAGAACGGGTCTCTTCTTCCCTAGACACCCACTGCCTCTGCAGCTCCCTAGAGCAGGGAACGGCCCCTGGGAATGTTACCTAAAGCCGTGTTCCGCTCCTCCAGCAGTTCCACTTTCACCATCTGGTTGACAGGGGGTGCGTCCTCCAGCCGCTCGATCAGGGCATTCACGAGGTCCTCGTGGTTGCCAGGGAAGACACCCAGGTGGTCCCCAGGCTGGTACTGCAGCTCCTGATTCCCGTTGGTGTGGAGACGCACGAAGATAGTTGACCGACTGCAGGAAATTGCAGAGGAATCATAGGACAAGGGCCAGCAGCTACTTCCTCCTTTTTTTTTTGGCTCTTCTGTCTGTCCCTGTTGGCTGCAGTTCTCCTTCCATTCTTGTTGGGGCCTGTGCTAACCAAGCCTATTCCCCCATCATTCTATTATTATTATGGTGAGATAGGGTCTTGCTCTGTCGCCCTGGCTGGAGTGCAGTGGTGCGATCACAGCTCACTGCAGCCTCTATCTCCCAAGCTCAATGATCCTCCCACCTCAGCCCTCCCAAGTAGCTGGGACTATAGGCAGGCACTGTCACACCTGGCTAATTTTGGAATTTTTTGTACAGATGGAATTTCCCTATGTGGCCCAGGCTGGTCTCAAACTTGTGAGCTGAAGCAATCTTCCCACCTCGGCCTTCCAAAGTGCTAGGATTACAGGTAAGGGCCACAGTGCTTAGCCATCATTCTACACTGAGGCTTTTTATCAAGGTCACCAGTGAACTCCTCACTGCAAATCCAGTGGCTGCTTCCCAGGTTTCATCTGGATCTGGAAGCAGTATTGGGCATAACTACTCACTCTCTCCTTCTCAACTCCCTTCTTTTGAATTCTAGCACCCCATTCTCAGTACTAATAGGGGTTCTCTCAGTGTCTAGCGCTTCACTGGAACCACAAACTGTGGTATTCCCAATCTGTGAAATTCTACATCTCCTGGGAATTGCAAGCCCCACTGCGTTTGGCAACCAGGGTTCCTCGTGTTGTAATGGTAAAGGAAAAAAGACTTGGCTTTAAGCTTGGGTTCCTCCTATGCATAAACTCATCAATATTACAACATTGAGAGATCTAAAAAGACAACACAGAAGGAAACTCACTGATGCCTACCGGGTTATAACCTTTCTGCATTGATTTTTGTGTTTCAGGTTCAGGAGGCCTGTGCTAATCCAACAGCTTTCAATAATAAACTCTCAGAATGTGATTATTCTGGTCCTTTAAAAAGTTTTGGTACAGGCCAGGCGCAGTGGCTCACACCTGTAATCCCAGCACTTTGGGAGGTGGAGGTGCGCGGATTGCCTGAGGTCAGGAGTTTGAGACCAGCCTGGCCAACATGACAAAACCCCATCTCTACTAAAAACACAAAAATTAGCTGGGCATTGTGGCACACGCCTGCAATCCCAGCTACTCCGGAGGCTGAGGCGGGAGAATCACTTGAACCCAGGAAGTGGAGGTTGCAGTGAGCCGAAACTACACCACTGCACTCCAGCCTGGGCATCAGGGAGAGACTATATCCCCACCCCCCACCGCCACCCAAAAAACAAACAAACGAACCCCACAAAAACCTTTCAGTACAGTATACTGCATTTTACACAATACCTGCAAACTCTAGGATCAACTACACGTGGATAAATCAAATCTTTTGCACCCTTTGAGCTATGATTGCTTTTTCAGACCTGCTTTTTCTTCATTGCCAATGAGTTTTCAGCGGATAGAGACGCTTGATATTCAACATGAAGTTTCTATATTCTCTATGGTATGTAAATCAACACTTGAATAGCCCAGTGGGACTCGCTATTTAAAGGAGTTTTTGGCTCAACCAAGAACCCCTTTGTGCTACAAATAGCCACCATTATTAAAAAGAGTTGAGCGGCCATATTATTTTGGGGGAGGAAACAGTGTCAAGTATTTTCTTGAAGCAAGGCATCCCCGCCCTTAGCATAGTGGGGAACTTAGCGACCATAATTGTGAATGGTAGTATTAAGGTCTAGGAGTCCCACTGTCCCTCCCTGGGCAGATCTTGCCCTGTCTGGGAACCTGCACGACTGAGCCTTCTCAGAGCTCACACCAATCTTTGGTTCCTGGGGAGCAGACATTACCTCCAGAGAGCTGCAAAAAGTAAATCGCAGAAGCCAGGGCCAGCAGGGGGCGCTGTGGGGTTTCTAATTTGGGAGCCTCCTAAGTTTACCCAAAGGAAGCCTTTGAAAGGCCCGCAAATCAATTCCCGCTTTCTTCCCAGATCATCACGATTTGTACAAAATAGAAATGCAGAGGACCCAAACTTGCTGAGCTAGCTCACGAGCACAGCCACCTCCCCCCAAGTCCTCTTGAACGAGGCAGAGGGTGGCCGTGCAGACAAGGAGCAGGCATGGGAAAGTGGCTGGCCTGTGGGCTAGAAGGTGGGTCCAGGCTCTGGCCCTGCTGGGAGTTTAAGGGGACTCTACATGCTGCTTGGTGGGTGCTTGCTGAGAACCCCCAGCGTTGAATGGCCGCAGGGCCCCAGGGCACCTTGGTGGGCTGGTCTTTGATGCTGTGCTGGGAAGCCGACCCTCTGGGGAATAGCACTGGCTCAGAAACCAACTGTCTTAAATCTCAGTTCTGCTGAGCTTTGTAAGTGGAGAATTTTTAAACATTTTTAAAAATTATTATTTTTATTTTTTTTGAGATGGAGTCTCTCTGTTGCCCAGGCTGGAGTGCAGCGGTGCTATCTTGGCTCACTGCAACCTCCACCTTTCAGGTTCAAGCGATTCTCCTGCCTCAGCCTCCTGAGTAGCTGGGATTACAAGCGCCCACCACCATGCCCGGCTAGTTTTTGTACTTTTAGCAGAGACAGGTTTTAACCATGATGGCCAGCTGGTCTCAAACTCCTGATCTCAGGTGATCCACCCGCCTCAACCTCCCAAAGTGCTGGGATTACAAGTGTGAGCCACCACGCCTGGCCTATTTTTTATTTTTTCTTAAAGCTTGGGACACATATGGGCCATATGAGAAGTATAGGGAGAAGGGGAAGAGGCAATGGAACAGCAGCCACCATTTGGGTCCTATTTCCTTCTCCCCCAAGTGTCCCCTCTGTGTGACTTATTTCTAGTCACATCCAGAAGCATCACATACACACACATGCTTGGCGGTGGCTCAATGATAGGTTTGCAGATAAAAGAATAATTTGCTAATGTCCAGCATTAAATGGAAAAAAACCCCAGAAAATGTGCATTCTTCAGTGAAAAGGATAAATATTGTCAGCTGTGAACTGCTCAAGTTAACAAAGTTCATTCATTCAACACCCGTACATTGCGTGCCAAGCACTGTTCTAGGCACTGGTGAGAGAGTGATGGGGAAGGACAGCAAACTGCCCTATTCTCATTGAGAAGTCACTTAAAAGATCTCAGGTGGGGTTGGTGATGCGGATGAGTGGGTGGTGATGGGTTGAGGGGAGTAGGCTATGTCGATAGGACAGTCAGGGAGACCTCTCTGGCGATTTGACATTTAAGCAGAGACATGCAAAGACCTGCAGGCACAGCATTCCAGGGATGGGGAAGAGCACGTGCAAAGGCCCAGAGGCAGAGAAAAGGTGGCATGTTCAAGGAAGTGAAAGAAGGCTGGAGTGTTTGTTTGGACAATAATAGCGGCCAGATCACAAGAGCCTCATGATGACCTGTCATGGCAAGGAGTTTGGAGGTTTCCTGAGGTCCAGCAGACCATCAGGGGCTGTGAAGCCGGGGAGTGACAGGCTTCAATTCACGGTTTTAAAAGATTCCTCTGTCTCAGGACCCGCTTCCATAGTAAAAGATTAGGGTGGGGGTGGCCAGAAATTCACACCTTATACAAGTAGGACACCTAGTCCAAACCAGTGTTTCGCACCCTATGCAAATGGCACGCCTGGTCCAACCAATATTTTGCATCCTATGTAAATCAAACACTGCTTCCTCACTAGACATCTGTAAACCCCCAATCCCCCCTGCATTTCACCGTGGATCTGGCAACCCATTTCTCCAGGACCCCTCTCTTCAGCAGAGAGCTTTTTTTTTTTTTTTTTTTTTTAAGATGGAGTCTCACTCCGTTGCCCAGGCTGGAGAGCAGTGGTGCGATCTTGGCTCACAGCAACCTCCGCCTCCCAGGTTCAAGTGATTCCCCTGCGTTAGCCTCCCGAGTAGCTGGGATTACAGGCACCTGCCAACATGCCCAGCTAATTTTTGTATTTTTAGTAGAGACGGGGTTTCCCCATGTCGGCCAGGCTGGTCTCAAACTCCTGACCTCGTGATCCACCTGCCTTGGCCTCCCAAAGTGCTGGGATTACAGGCGCTAGCCACTGCACCCGGCCCTTTCTTTCATCAATTAAACTTCTACTCTTAACCTCAAAAATAAAATAAAATAAAATAATTTTAAAAAAAAAGAAAAAAGAAAGGAAGGAAAGATTCCTCTGTCTGCTCTTTGGAAACTGATGTTTTTAGAGAAAAGCTCAGAAACCAAGAGACAAGTTGGGTGGCTATTCCAGTCAGTCAGACCGGACATGCCCATGGCTTTGCTCAAGGTGGTGGGTCTGAGATGTAGTTGAAAGACAAGGCCAAGGGCGTCTGCTGACAGACTGCATGACCCAGGCGAGAGGGAGAGAGGAGTGAGGATGACACTGGAGGTTTTGACTGACGCCAAACGTTGATGTCCTCTGTTGAGATGGGGAAGGCTGGAGAGAAGCTATTTTACTCGAGGGGAGATGAGACTGAAGCATTCTACCGATCAAGAACTCTGCATTCTAATGTCTGCCGTTCTCCCGGACATCCCGGTGCTGACCTTAACTTCTGCTGTTCTTCCTTCCTGGACCCCCCTCCTCTTTCCCGCCTTTCTAAAGGCCACCCTCCCATAAGAGGTTCATCTCAGGTCCTGCATTCTCCTCTTGCTCCTGATTTCTAGGACTTGTCTACACCCCACACATCAGCCATCCATTATGCTCTCTCTTCTGTGTCATTTGCTAATTGTTGTATGTGCATTAGAAAATTTATTTCCAGGCTGTGATGGTGACTGCGGTCACTTTTCTCTTTAGATTTTCAAGGATCCTCCTCAAAAGGCTGCCTACTTCCTCATAAGCACTTTGCCTGCAATTAATGGTCTCTCGTAGGGGGATTAGTGATATCTTGGTCGTGGCCTTTTGGGCCAGACAGCCCAACTTCAGCCTCGGGCAGGAGAAAACGGGAGAGTCATGCTTTTTCATTCAATTATCCTTTTTCTTCTTTTTTAAAATAAGCCTTATGAAGCTGGAAATGGTATTAAGCTTGAAAATAGGTAGTGCTTTTAAAGCACTTTCAGCTTGAAAATAGAGAACATGCTTTTAAAGAGAGAAACACGGAGGTAAGACTGGGTCCTTTTTGTGCTAATTCATAACTGATTTGAATTCTACACTCCAGTTCTAACCTTGTTTGGAATATTCTCTTGCTAGTCACTTTTAGACCCGTCGCTTAGAGTCAGGTGCCTCCTCTGGATGGGCGGGGGTGGGGGCTGATTTTGGGACTTTTGGTTTCACTTAGCATCAAAACATTTGCAAGTTTCCTTGCTACTTATGTACTATGGCTTTGGGAGTAAATTCTGTAAGCTGGTCTTTCATATTTTGTTGCTGAAGGAAATTTCCAGTAGATTATTAGGCCTTCTCATGCAATGCTACTTATATCATCCCTTCCCATAGGACCAAAATAAGTAGTAAGAGATATATTTCAAATACGGAGTCCCTCTCCATATCAGGGGCCATTATGCTCTGAATTGCACTTAACTAATTATTCAGAGATTAATTTCCCACTCCATTTCTTTAATGTTTGAGAATCTAAGAGAGAATATGAGAGCCCTGGGGCTCTGCTCTGTTGATCACTTTTATCAAAGGTTTGGAAGATTACATAGAAAGCACGCACACTAAATTTGCAGGTGACATGAAGCACGGATGGATAAGGAATACTGACGGGACTCTATGATATGCTAGTTGCTTTATGTAGCTTATTTTTAATACTTAGCAGCCTTGCAATGCTGGTGAGGCCATCTGTGTAGCCATTTGGCACACTGACTTTGGAGTCAGATAACCAGGTCGGTGTGACCTTGAGAAAGTCACTTGTATTTTCTAGTTGTCATTGTTCCTATTTAAAATGTGTATGATAAGAGCGCCTACTTCCCAGGCTGGTTAGAATTATAAAAGATCCTGGACAGAGCACTCAGCACAGTGCTTGGGACACAGAGAGCTCTAGAAAAACGTTAGTAATCTTCATAGCTATCATTCCTATTACGTAGGTAAGGAGACAGGGGCTCAGATCACCTAAATGGCTTAGCCAAGGCTGCACAGCTAGTGCGTGGCAGAGCTGGGGTTAGAACCCAGAACTGCTTAATCAAGAGCCTACTCTTAGACATCACATCTCAAATTGATCAAACTGGGTCTGTCCATCCATCTCTCTACTTGTATAAGTAATTTTTCTTTTTCTTTTTTCTTCTCCTTTTTTTTTTTTTTTTTTTTGAGATGGAGTCTTACTCTGTCGCCCAGGTTGGAGTGCAATGGTGCAATCTCAGCTCACCGCAGCCTCCGCCTCCTGGGTTCCAGCGATTTGCCTGCCTCAGCCTCCTGGGTAGCTGGGATTATAGGCCCCCACAACCACACCTGGCTAATTTTTGTATTTTTAGTAGAGACAGGGTTTCACCATGGTGGTCAGGCTGGTCTTGAACGCCTGACCTCATGATCCATCTGCCTCGGCTCCCAAAGTGCTGGGATTACAGGTGTGAGCCACCATGCTGGGCCGAGTCATTTTTCTAGCACTAATGAAGGTCTTTGCACTGGTTCCCGTTGAATGGAATGTTTTTCACTTTGTAGTTACAGCAGAACATCTTTTCAAGTCTCGATTCTTTGCACGGCGTAGTTCACTGCGCTATGCTTAGTTCACCGGGTTACCCACCTCTGTTCCCAGAGCAGCAAGGGGGTCTCTGTGGTACTTTGCAATAATTGGAAAACAGCCAGTCCTTGGAATCAACAAGAGCTTGTCCTTTATTGTGGGTGGCACCTGGGAGCAGAGGTGGGTAACCCAGTGAACCAAGCACAGCACAGTGAACTATGTTGGGCAAAGAATCAAGACTTGAAAAGATTCTTGATTCTTCTGCTGTAACTACAAAGAGAAAAAGATTCTATTCAACAGGGATCTATGCAAAGACTTTCATTAGTGCTAGAAAAATTATTTATACAAGTAGAGAGATGAGCAGACCTGGTGTGATGGTTTTGAGAAGACGTGATGTCTAAGAACAGCAGTGACTGCTTTTAATGGAAAAGCAAAACGGCCATTAGAACCATGCCTGAGATCTCAGGCAGCATTAGCGCGTCCTGTTCAAATTGGTGATGGTAATAATAACCTCAGCACATTTGGCAGTGATCACATACTCTCCACTGCACTGTGACCAGGTGAGAGTGACATTTCCAGCAGGACAGAGTGTGTCCTTTTACTAAAGCCAGAGGCTTGGGAAACCATGTCTTAGAAAGAATGACTTGAAGGAATCAGGCCCCAGAGGAGACTGGTCAATGTCGTTGGCTATTTCCAGGTCTCTCATTTGGAAAGAAATAAACTTGTCTTAGATGTCACCAGAGAGTAAAACTGGGTTTAAAATAAAGTGCTAGGAAGACATGCTTTGGTTATATTAGATAAAATGATATTGGTTATATTGGATACTAAGCTAATTTCTAACAATTAGGACTTCATCTCCCATCAACCCAAAGAAATTTAAGCAGAGTGTGGGTATCCACTTTTTAGCTACATTAAAAAAATTATTCACAATAGGAAATACTTGGACTAAGTGATTTCCAGCTAAGATGCTGTGGTACAACAAACATGTAGCAAATCTACAGGGGTGTTGTCCACTGTTAAAAAAACCTTACTCAGAAAACCTTTTTCTTTCCTCTTTTCATGAGATCAACACCATCTCCTTTTCCCACCCCTTCAGGTTGGAGCTTGGCAAAAGGAAAGCAGGAACTCCAGACACTAAAAAGCAGCAAGGGAGTCTCTATGGCACTTTGCAGTCATTGGAAAACAGCCAGTCCTTGGAGTCCACAGGGCTTGTCCTTCATCGTGGGTGACATTTGAGAGAATAGGTGGGTAACCCAGTGAACCAAGATGTTCCTACCTGGATTTAGGGCTCTGGAGGTTTTGACGGCTAAGGAGTCGGGCAGCTGAGACTCGCTTTTTGTGGACATTGGATAGACCTGTGGGGAGAAAAACAGTCTTCCTGAGAAGGGGTTGAATGTTCCATTAAAAACTCCCCAGGCGGGGCAAGGTGGCTCACGCCCATAATCCCAACTACTTAGGAGGCTGAGGTGGGAGGATCACTTGAGGCCAGGAGTTCAAGACCAGTCTGGGAAACATAATGAGACCTTTTCTCAGAATATTAATACAAACAAACACTCTACAGCATTTTCTTCACCCTCTACTGACACTTCTACTGTTCTCTGAAGTAGAATGAGAGACAGAAGAGAAGAGATGAGGCAGGCATTGGTTGGGACGGGTGAGGTGGTTGTGGGTAGTGCAGAACAAAAAGAAAATCTGGTTGAATTAAGTTGAGAAGAGGATGGTTTGCAAGAACACAGTATATTACTTGAGAGACAGAGAGAGAGAGAGATATTTCCCAGTACTTGTTTTACAGAGTGTGGGAGGGCAGCAAAGTATTCATTTTGGTAAGACTGCACTAAAGGGAGATCAAAGCAATGAAGCCCATCTTCCCTAAGCACCTTCTGGAGGTGAGATTGCCTGTCTTTCCCCCATTGTCATGAATGCCTCCCTAGAAGGGTGGTGGGAGGTACCTTGTGTGAGTTCTGGAGCTTCGGCCACATAGGTGAGGCGGAACTTGTTTCTCTTCCAGCTGCGGTCATTGCTGATGAGGGAATTGTTCGCCTTTTCAATGTTGACATCATCTCCCACACAGAAGACATCACAGGCTGCCTGTGGTGTACACAAGGCTTTCAGTGACCTCTTTCAGCCAAGCGGATCTCCTTGCCAACAGCTCCAAGTCATGGCATGTATCTACATCCACCCATCCATCCATCTATCCAACTATCCATCCATCCATCCATTCATCCATCCATCCATCCATTCATCTATCCATCCAGTAACCCTTCCCTCCTTCCCTTCTTCCTTCCCTTCCTTTCTTCACTCTACCCTTTCATTGTCTTCCTTCCATCCATTCACCCATCCACTCATCCACTCTGCCATTCATCTACCCTTCCGCCCTCCCATCCATGTATCCATCTTTCCATCCATCCATCTGTCCACTCACCCACCCATCCACCCACCCACCCATCCATCTTTCCATGCACTCATCCTTCCTTCCATCTACCCATGCAGTCATCCATCTTTCCATGCATCCATCCTTCCATCCATCTACCCATTGACCCACCCACCCATCCATCTATCTTTCCATGCATCCATTCTTCCATCCATTCACCCACCCATCCATATATCTTTCCATGCGTACATGCATCCATCCATTCATCTATCCATCCATCCATCCTATATATTTTGAGTGTCTGCGATGTGCTGGACATGTCAGATTTGCCATTGACTTTAGGACCTAACCTGCACTTAAGATATAATTCTATTATGTCATTTATTCCTAAAATTAATGTGTGTAGAGGTTTAACATTAAAGAAGAAAGTAAACATCTCAGAATTTCCCAATCCATCTTCCTCTAAATATTTAAGAATTATGTAAAGAAAGAGCATATTGAATGAATGTCTGGATGACTGCAAATACATTTTCCTTTTTTTTTTTTTTTTTGGTCAAGCTCACTTGTTCTTTGATTTTAACAGTTCTAAGAATTGCTGTCCTTATTTATTTATTTATTTATTTAAGACAGAATCTCACTCTGTCACCCAGGCTGGAGTGCAGTGGTGCAATCTTGGCTCACTGCAGCCTCAACCTCCTCCCCAGGTTCAAGTTATTCTCATGCCTCAGCCTCCCAGGTAGCTGGGATTACAGGCATGTGCCACCACACCCAGCTAATTTTTGTATTTTTAGTAGAGACAGGGTTTTGTCATGTTGGCCAGGCTGGTTTCGAGCTCCTGGCCTCAAGGGATTTGCCTGCCTCAGCCTCCTAAAGTGCTGGGATTACAGGCATGAGCCACCATGCCCGGCCAATGTCCTGAGTTATTTTTAAGATAAAACCACAGATAATTCAAAATAATGATAATTTTTAAGAATAGTTCTTACCATTGTTTGACCTCATGTTGACTTTAAAACAATCCAAATGTTCATCAGTGGATGAATGGATTAACAAGACTTGACACATCCATACAATGGAATATTATTTGGCTATAGAAAAGGATGAAGTTCTGATACACGCTATGGCATGAATGAACCTTGAAAACATTATACTAAGTGAAAGAAGTCAGTCACAAACGACTACATTATGATTCCATTCATATGAAATGTCCAGCACAGGGAAATCTACAGAGACAGAAAGTAGGTTTGTGTTTGCCAGAACTGGGAGTGGGATGGGAGCAGGAGGTTGACAGCTAAAGGGTACAGTGGTTTTAACAGGCCTTCCTTCCTGGTTGCTCAGTCAGGGTTGACTGATGGAAATCAAGCAACAGAATTATCCCAATGGGTATAAAAAGCCATTATTTCAACTCTCCTTGTCTGGGAGGAAATGCAGGAACAGGCTGATAAACACTGCCTCCCCACATGGAAATCCTCACAGCCCAGGGGCCTCAGCTTCCCCATTTGCTCTCTACCTGCGTTTGCTTTCAGGATGAAAAGTGTCATCTAAATGACAGAAGGTTGCATAGTACTCTTCTCCTGGGGTTGCTGATGAGTATGCATTCCAAGGCTAGGATGGCGTGGGTAAAAGTGGCAGGGTCTACATTCATTACCACCTCCCAGCCTAGAATGGTCAGTTTAGTCATCCTCATATGCAGATAGAAGGCCATGCATGGTTCATTTATTCTCCTGTGGCCTTAAATTTAAAACAGCTCTGGCCAATAGGATGTCTTATGATGGAAAGGTTCTACACTGTCTAATATGGTAACCCCTACCCCTGTGGCTACTGAGAATGCAAAATGTGTATTCTGAGTTGCTTACTGCAACTGAGCAATGGGATTTTTTTTTTAAAATACTGAAGAAAGATAACAGTTTATTATAATTTATTTTATTTAACAATCTAGGAAGTTCGCAGCCATCAGCAGTTCCAGCGCAATTTCAAGTACAATTGGGGATTCTGGAATCTCAGTGGAGCTGTGAATGTAGTGAACGTTGTATGTAAACTGTGTGCCATGCCTATAATCCCAGCACTTTGGGAGGCCCAGGGGGGCAGACTGACTGAGCTCAGGAGTTCACGACCACCCTGGGCGACACGGTGATACCCCATCTCTACTAAAATACAAAAAATTAGCTGGGCATGGCGGCAGGTGCCTGTAGTGTCCCAGCCTCTTGGGAGGCTGAGGCAGGAGAATAGATTGAACCCAGGAGGTGGAGGTTGCAGTGAGCCAAGATCGTGTCACCGCACTCCAGCCTGAGCAACAGAGCAAGATTCTGTCTCAAAAACAAAACAAAACAAAACAAAACAAAACAAAACAAAACATGGATACTTTTGTTAATACAGGGATAGGAATCTCTCTCTCAAATTAACTTCATTTGTTTTATTCTCAGCAAACTGACCTGGGCCACTCAACATGGCTTTTATCATTCCTGATGTTAGCACATGTTCTATTTTTACAACACATTCCTGACCCTCAGAAGGTATCAGTTAGACATGCATGGTACCAGGGACTTCACAGCCACCATAGGCTTTCTCCTCTACATCCATCATGTTCTCATGAAATTCTACTTTGCTTCCCCAGGAACTTCAGTAGTTTCCTGGTGAGGTGGGGATGCAGAGTCTGTCGCTCCCTTCTGTCTGGAGGAAGTCAGGAATGGGATTTTAAACCTATTTAATTAAATTAATTAATTAGTTTTTTAAAGACATGAGGTCGCACTATGTTGCCCAGGCTGGTCTTGAGCTCCCGGGCTCAAGCAATCCTCCTGCCTAGCCTCCCAAAGTGCTGGGATGACAAGCATGAACCACCATGCCCAGCCTTATTTAATTTTGAACTGTGTAGATAGGTATAGATGTAATTCACGTAACATACAATTCACTGTTTAAACATGTACAATTCTGTGGCATGTAGAACGTCCACACGGTTATGCAGCCCTTCCCACTATCTGCTTCCAGAACATTCTCATCACCCCCCCCGACACTGAAAAACTTTTTTATCTATTAGTAGTCACTTCCATTTCCCATCCCCATAACCCCTAGCAACCAATAACCTGCCTTCTCTCTCTATGGATTTTCTGATTCTGGACATTTCATATAAATGGAATCCTGCAATACATATTCTTTTGTGACTGTCTTCTTCCACTTAGCACAAAGTTTTCAAGGTCCATCCATGTTGTAGCATGTATCACCACTTCATTATTTTTTACAGATGAAGAATATTCCATTGCATTGATGTATCACATTTTATTGACCCATTCATCATATTTAATTTTAATTAGCTGAAGTTTAAATGTAAATGGCTATGTGTGGCTAGTGGCTACCATATTATATTGGTCAGTGAAGATCTAGCACAAGAGGGGTACGCCTGTCAAAGTTGGTAGACTGCCAAGATCTTAAGTTTGGTTTGATTGACCAACTCTATGTTTTTCTGTGTACCTGTATACCAAATGTGAGTGAGGGATGGCTTCCTCCCAGCCCTGACATTCCAAAACTCTATAATTTTTTTTATGGACCAACTCCTTGCCCATAATGTAGAATGTTGGATTCTGGGTAGAAAATATGTGTTTTCAGGACACCCAAATTTATCTGAGCTGTTTAAAGCTGTATTTTGGCTGGATACATAGGAGAGGTACTGAGGGTTCTCTCAAGTTTATTCTCTTCTTGATGGTTTAGATGCTGTCTTTGGGGGTGTGGGGAGCATTACTTCTCCCTGTAGGTCCATGAGATCTAGATTACCTTGAAGACCTTCTTGGCCCAGGTCCTGAAAGCCTCTTCCTGCCCACACAGCTCATCCCCTTCCCTCATCTTCAGGATCCTCTCCCCTCCCAGTTCTTCCAGGAGGGTGTCCACAGCATGTCCGAAGGCGCAAAAGTGAGGGTACGCTCGTGAGCCAAGACCAAACACTGAGAACCTGTCAAGGGGACAACAGAATGTTCATGCTAAGGGACTGTGGGGAATGTGGGGAGTGTCTGGTGTAATGGGCTAAACTGTGTCCCCCCAAATTTCGTATATTAAAACTCTAATCTCCTTACAATTGTATTTTGAGATAGGGCCTTTAAGGAGGTAATTAGGGTTAAATTAGGTTATAAGGGTAGAGCCCTGTTCTGATAAGATTAGTGTCCTTATGAGAAGAGGAAGAGACACCAGACCTCTCTCTCTCTCTCTCTCTCTCTCTCTCTCTGGACATAGTAAGAAGGTGGCCGTCTGCAAGCCAGAAAGGGAGACCTCACCAGAAAGCAACCTGCTAGCACCTTGATCTTGAACTCTGGCTTCCAGTACCATGAGAAAATAAATTTCTATTCTTTAAGCTGTCTGTGAGTTCTAGAATTACAGCCAATACCACTTAGTCTGTGGTATTTTGTTATGGTAGCCTGAACTAATATATCTGTTATCTCAAAAAGAACAATGTTTAGCTGATAGTGGTCAGGCAACCCCAAGCTCATCTGTGGAAGGGTACTTTAAACCTAAGGGCTCGCAAGGGTTTCTCTCCCTTTCTTTTGGTCTCTTTTAATTACTGCCATCATCAGGAGAATATTCTAATTTGTTCTAAGGCGGACAAATTAGGGATAGCAATGACCTGGAACTACTGGCTGTTTTGTGCATGTCCACTTCTAAGCTGGACCAACTGGGGAAATTAGTTTATTTTAGTGGAAGGCTTGAATTCTATGAGTGACATAACTAGATTAGTTTTAAGTATGAAGATAATGAAACTATCACATAATGGTCCTCAGGGACTTGTATTAATGAAGAGACCAGAAGAAATTGTCATCAACACATCAGACAGGTTCTTCTAAATGGGGATGAAAGAGTTATAAATATTCTGGTTACATTCCTTGTAGGGTCTATGAAATTAAATTGCTTCACAGACCCTCTGTGTATAGATACCACCAAGAAAATGTTGGTGCTTGAACCAGTGGGGTCAAGTTCATGAGATGTTTCTCTGTTTTGAGGTGGGGACACTTGGACTGAAGGAAGGAAATGGAGGGCTATGTCCTAGGTGGCTCCTGTACGGGTGGTCCACAGCCCTTCGGACACTTTCTGCCACATTTCTAGAACTTGGTCTTGGCTGTAGGTCTAGACCTCACAGTGACAGGAACAACAGGTTCATGAATGGGACAAAAACACCCCACCTTGCCCCACTTTTTAAGGTCAGAGTGTTCTGCTGTAGACTGTCATCTCAGATAAACCATGGAGTGGGACTACTTAACCTACTCCATAAAGGATCAGACCCTACCCCTGAATCTCTTTTTTAGGTTGATGGGGACAAAATGGTAACAGATTGAGATGGGGAGGAAGGAAGAAGGTAGGAGAAGTTGGGAAGGTACCCTCCATCATTGGAGCATGAACTTGGGGTGGGTCCAGGTGCCTCACAGGTGAAAGTTAATGTAGGTTAATATCCACTCCCCTCAAATCCACACTCATATTGTATCATTTAATCTTCCTCTTCTTTCTTGCCCTCCTTTCCCTAGAATTCCAGAGCCTTTCCAAATAAAGTATGTGGGATTAGACAGCATTTTGCCATTTACTTATTGATTTATTATTATTTTTTTGAGACAGAGTTTTGCTTTTATCACCCAGGCTGAAGTGCAGTGGTGTGATCTCGGCTTACTGCAACCTCTGTCTCCCAGGTTCAAGTGATTCTTCTGCCTTAGCCTCACGAGTAGCTTGGATACAGGCATGCCTGGCTAATTTTGTATTTTTAGTAGAGATGGGGTTTCACCATGTTGGTCAGGCTGGTGTCAAACTCCTGACCTCGGTGATCCGCACACCTTGGCCTCCCAAAGTGCTGGGATTACAGGCATGAGCTGCTGAGCCCAGCCTGCCATTTACTTTTAACTAATGATCTTCCTGAATCCAAAAACATTACCCTTTTCTTGCAAGGTGGTGGCCTGACAGGTAGACAGAGATGGTGACTGGATGTGGACTGATTGGAGGGGTGACACGAAAGGGCATCCCTGCCCGAAGCCACCTGCCTCAGCCTTAGCCCAGTGCAGATCGGGAGCTCCCAGCACTAGTCATGCCTTCTGGTTAAGGTGCTGTTTCCCAAATCTCTGTGATTTATGTTTGTGATGTCTGCCATATTCGATTACCACTGACACTGTCAACCACTCATTTGTGCTTTTGAACTTGCTTTTACTTTTTCCTCACTAGCTCATCACTCCTACGATCTGAATGTTTGTGTCTCTCCCAAATTCACAGGTTGAAACCTAACCCCCAATGTCATGGTATTAGTAGCCTTTGGGAGGTGATTAGGTCATGAAGGTGAAGCCTCATGAATGGGGTTAGTGCCTCATAAGGGGCTGAAGAGACCCTTCGTCATGTAAGGACGCAGCTGGAAGGCACCATCTATGAGCCAGAGAGTGGGCCCTCACCAGACACTGAATCTGCCGGCACCTTGATCTTGGACTTCCCAGCCTCTAGAACTGTGAGAAATAAATTACTGTTGTTCACAAACTACCAGTTTATGGTATTTGATATAGTAGCCCCAATGGACCAAGGCTCCCAACTCTTGTGTTCACCAACAGATGATGATTCAGGTGGTTGATTCATTAATATTCTTCTTGGTGGGCCTGAGGACCTAGACTGCAGTCACTACTAGTCACATTTCCATCACAATCTTCAGCTTATGATTTCAAAATGCCTATTTTAAGCCTTCAAACCAGGAGTTGGCAAACTTTTTTTTTTTTTTTTTTTTGAGACAGAGTTTTGCTCTATCATCCAGGCTCAAGTGCAGTGGCGCCATCTTGGCTGACTGCAACCTCTGCCTCCCAGGCGCGAGTGATCTTCCCACCTCAGTCTCCAGAGTAGCTGGGACCACAGGTGCATGCCACCATGCCCAGCTAAGTTTTTATATTTTGGTAGAAATGGGGTTTTGCCATGTTGCCCAGGCTGGTCTCAAACTCCTGAGCCCAAGAGATCTGCCTGCCTTGGCCTCCCAAAGTGCTGGGATTATAGGCATGAGCCACTGTGCCCAGCGTTGGCAAACTTTTTATATGTGGGGGTAAGACAGCAAATATTTTTAGGCTTACAGGCTGAGAAGCAAAATTGAAGCTATTACATAGGCACTTACAAAACAAGAAAGAAAACAAATTCCTGAACATTCTCAATTGATAAAATTAAAAACATAATAATAACAATTAAGCATACTTTAACACAGGTCTACTATGAGAAGACTGGAATTCATTTTTTGGGAGAGAATAACAACATTTTCTTCATTGGGGTTCAAAGGTAATGTTTTCTACCATCAAACTGATTACAAATGTTCATCGGTAAGAAAAGCATTATTAGTTCATGGGTTGTTAAAAATATGCAGTGACCAGGCTGGATTCGGCTCACAGGCGTTAGTCTGCCAATCCCTGCCATGATAGATTTAATAAGGGAAAAATGGGTCTGACTGTCAAACTCCAGAACTGACGTTTCAATGTTGAGCTGAAAAAAGTACTGATGTCAAAACCTATAGAAGGTTCAACACCAAGAGTGAACCCTAAAGTAAACTATGGACTGTGGCTGATAATGATGTGTCCCTGTAGGTGCGTCAGTTCTAACAAACGCACCACTCTGGTGTGGGATGCTGATAGGAGGGGAGACTGTGCGTGTGTAGTGACAGGAAGATGTGGGAACTCTCTGTACTTTCTGCTCATTTTGCTGTTAACCTAAAATTGCTTTAAAACATAAAGCCTATTTGAAAATGTCCTGGAGGACATAACAGATATTTCAATATCTAGCAAACCAGTGATCTATATCATCTACTAAGCATTGCTCTGAGTAATTATGGAGAAGGCTCAGTTAGCGAAGGTCTGAGAGATTTGTGGCCAGGCCTGAAGGTTCTTCCTACAGGGCAACTCACATTAGTCTTGTCTTGATCAATATCCACGAAACCAAGGGTTTGACATCCCAGTTTTCTTTCCTTCCAAGAACCCATTAGACTGAATACACAACTGTTGTAATATAAAATATTTGTCCACGTACTTCCTAAAATTATCTCATAGTATGTGACTAGGCCATGAGATAATGTGAGGTTAGGGCAGTATTTGTCAAATCTGACTGCACGTCAGAGTCAATTGGAGAGACTTAAAGAAAAAAGCAGCACATGGGCCCAATTCCAGATCAATTCCATCAGAATCTCTGGAGACAGGGCTTGGTTATCGTATTAGTATGCTGCAAACCTCTCCAGGTGATTCTGAGGAGCCTCCAGGATTGAGAACCATTGGGTCATAGCAGGGTGTCTACAGAAGCTTCTATTAAGTATACACCATAGCTACTGGGAAGGGCAGCTCATTGAGCAATATCCAGGGATTGATAGCCTTCAGCACAAATAATGGGGTGAACCTTGGGTAAGGGGGCTTTGAGGGAGTGTGTATAGAAAAAGAAGTCACAGAAAGGATCAAAAACGGTGCATGGGGAGACCAGGCAATGTGACTTAATGGGTGGGAGGGGTCCCAGACAGCCAGGATGCAGCTGGTTTTATGAGAAATGAATGGACATAGAAGGGAGACTCCCTCCTCACGACAAAGAGCTCACTTTGTAACTAGGTCCAGCTCCCCAGGAGCCTTAGTTTTCCCTGACCCCCGACCCCCTTATCCCCTTGCTCACCTCACATTGGCCAGGGGTCCAGCACTCTCAAAGTTGTCTCTGAGGTCGGGCCCATCGCCTGATGATTTTTGGGAGTCAGAGTAGGAGGAGACGCTATTGAATCGGACCTTGTAGCTCCTGCCAAAACCAAAGAGAACCTGTAAGCTCTGGCCTGGAGCTCCCTCCTGAGGTCAACACCCTTGATGGATCTTCAAGTGACAAGTCCTGATTCTAGGGTCTTCTCTTGTATGTTGAGTCAAACCATAACACTCCCATGGTCTATAATCTACCAACGTACCCATGTCCACCCCAGTGGTAACCGTCCATCTGCACTTGGTCTTACTGGTACTAAAAAGGTTTCTGGCCATGCTTAACTCAGGAAACCTGAGACCCATAAAGTTAACATGATTGAATCAGTAAGAAGTCAGGAGCAGAACTAACTACTCCCCTAAACCATGAGACCATGCTTTCTTGTTTCTCAAAAAAAAATTTTTTTGGGACAGAGTTTCACTCTTGTTGCCTGGGCTGGAGTGCAATGGCACGGCCTCGTCTCACTGCAACCTCTGCCTCCCGGGTTCAAGCAATTCTCCTGCCTCAGCCTCCCAAGTAGCTGGGATTACGGGCATGTACCACCATGCCTGGCTAATTTTGCATTTTTAGTAGAGACAGGGTTTCACCACATTGGCCAGGCTGGTCTCGAACTCTTGACCTCAGGTGATCCACCCTCCTCGGCCTCCCAACATGCTGGGATTACAGGCGTGAGCCACTGTGCCTGGCCCTTTCTCAAATTTTAATGTACACAAGAATCATCCTGGGATTTCATTAAAATGCAGATTCTGATTAAGTAGGTCTGGGACCTGGCTTGGAGTTCTGTGTTTCTAACAAGCTCCCAGGAGATGCCAGTGTCTCCGGACTTCACTTTAAGTAGCTGGAAACTAGACCATGCTGTCCAAGATGGCAGCCATTGGCTAAGTGTGGCTATCTAAAGGTAAATTAATTTGAATTAAATGCAAGTCAGTGTGGGTTGGTACACTGCAAACCTCCCTAGGTGATTCTGATGTGCATTCAGCTTTGAGAACCACTGGGTCACAGTAGGGTGTCACTTGCACCAGCCACATTTCAGGGGCTCCAGAGTCACATGTGGTTAGTGGCTGCTATAGTGGACAGCACAGATATAGAACATTGACATCTCTCTAGAAAGTTCTTCTGGACAGTGCTGGAGTATCCCATTCAATACTGTCCTTCCATAAAGTTATGGTCCTTAGACTTTTCAGGGTTCTGTCACATTTCACATTTCAAGTAAATATGAACAATGTTCAGCACTGACACCTGGCATGGAAAGAGACTGCATTTTTAAATTAAATTATTTTGAAGGCGAAGGACGATGTCATTGCGACTCAAACCTCAAGATGAGAGGCTCAGGAACCTTCAGACTAAAAAAAATCCAATTTCTCAGTTTTCCCCTAAAAGTGGTAAGTTGTGCTCTCAGGTAAGGCAAAACAAAACAAAGCAAACAGAAGCAAACAAAAAATCTGAGACCAAACAAACAAACAACTAAAACTCCAAAACAAAACCCAAACCTCAAGAAGCAAACCCACCACACAAATCTAATTACAAAAAATTAAAAAGAAATAAGAAAATAAAAAACAAGAGAGAAGAAGAAGAAAAGAAAATAAATTGTGCATTCTGGCAGCAGGGTTTTCTAAGCTGGATGTTCTTTAAAGTTTTTGCTCCAGCATCAGGAAAGTTCTAAATATATGTAAGTGTATTTTCTGCCCTAAAATAGTCTCACATTGAGTCATGCAATATATCAGGGGGTGGCTGTGTTGTTAGTGTTGGAGGAATGGTTGATGGTTGTGGTAAAAATAACAGCACGTGCATTTGTATGAGGCTGGAGGTTTTTCCAAATGCTTTCCTTTTTGTTATTACCCTTTGGCCCTGCCAATAGGCCACAGAAGTGCGTAGGGCAGAGCTAATTTCTCCCCATTTGGCAGAGGAGAAAGACCAAGGCCCACAGGGGTTAAGTGACTTGCTCAAGGTCACTTAGTGAGTTAGTGACACAGCTCAGGCTAGAACTCAGGTCTCCTTGAGACCTAGATGTGTGGCCTGGGATGCTCAGGCATTGGGCCTGCATGCACACACTCGCACACACATGCGTGTACACACATGTGGACATGTACACACATGCACACTCTACCTGTGCTGGCTGTCACGGGCTGCAGCCAGACCGTGGACTTCTGTGTCACCATGGGGGAGGGGAGGCCCTTTACGGGGAAAGAAACGCAAGGGTTCCGGGCACCTAGAGGGGAGAATCGATGGTGCCCTATCTCTCCCTGAAGGAGGGGTGAGAGGGAACCTGCTGGGAGGCTATCCAGGATGGGGTGGGAAGGAGAGAGGTAGCGAGAGTGAGGACTAAGATGCTGATCACAAAGGACTCAGCAACGGTCAGTCTCCTGGGTATCAAACTTATATGAATATGGCAGTACGTTCTCTGCCCAAAGAAAATCAGAAGGGATTTTCTTTTTTTCTTTTCATTCTTTTTTGAGACGGATTCTCTCTCTGTCACCCAACCTGGAGTGCAGTAGCGCAATCTCTGCTCACTGCAACCTCCGCCTCCCGGTTTCAAGTGATTCTGCTGCTTCAGCCTCCCAGTAGCTGGGATTACAGGCGCACACCACCATGCGCAGCTAATTTTTATGTTTTTAGTACAGAGTTTCACCATGTTGGCCAGGCTGGTCTCAAACTCCTGACCTCAGGTGATCCTCCCACCTCGGCCGCCCAAAATGCTGGGATTACAGGCATGAGCCACCGTGCCTGGCCTCAGAAAGGATTTTCTGCTTAACATAGCCAATAAACACCAGCCAGCTATAGCATTTGATATTCACCTTAAGACACAGGGATCTGCTCCATGCTTGAGCAAATACTGAGTTGGCCTAATGGAAAGGCAGCTCAGTGTGCACACACCATGTGTTCTATGCCTCATGGGGGATGCAAGGGCTTTTCAAGGGTAATTAAATAAAACTTTTTTTTTGGCTGGGTGTGGTGGTTCACACCTGTAATCCCAGCACTTTGGGAGGCTGAGATAGGTGGATCACCTGAGGTCAGGAGTTTGAGACCAGCCTGGCCAACATGGTGAAAGCCTGTCTCTACTAAAAACACAAAAATTGGCCGGGCGTGGTGGCTCACGCCTGTAATCCCAGCACTTTGGGAGGCTGAGGCAGGTGGATCACGAGGTCAGGAGATCGAGACCATCCTGGCTAACAACATGAAACCCCGTCTCTACTTAAAAAAAAAAAAAAAAAAAAAATTAATTAGCTGGGCACGGTGGTGGGCGCCTGTAGTCCCAGCTACTCAGGAGGCTGAGGCAGGAGAATGGCGTGAACCTGGGAGGTGGAGCTTGCAGTGAGCCGAGATCGCGCCACTGCACTCCAGCATGGGCGACAGAGCAAGACTCTGTGGTAAAAAAAAAAAAAAAAAAAAAAAAAAAAAATTAGCCGGGCATGGTGGCATGTGCCTGTAATCCCACCTACTTGGGAGGCTGAGGCTGCAGAATCGCTTGAACCCAGGAGGTGGAGGTTGCAGTGAGCCGAGATCATGCCATTGTACTCCAGCCTTGGTGATAAGAGCAAAACTTCATTTCAAACATTTTTTTTATTTTTATTTTTTAGAGACAAGGTCTTGCTCTATTGTCTAGGCTGGGGTGCTATGTACAATTATGGCTCACTGTAACCTCGACCTCCTGAGCTCAAGTGATCCTTCTGCCTCAGCCTCTGGAGTAGTTGGGACTTCAGGTGCACACTACCACACCCAGCTGATTTTTAATTTCTTTTGTAGAGATGGGATCTTGCTATATTGCCCAGGCTGGTTTGAACTCTTGGCCTCAAGCAATCCTTCTGCCTTAGCTTCCCAAAGCACTAGGATTATAGGCATGAGCCACCGCTCCCAGCCGTCAATGGTAAGTTTGATTAGATGCTTTTTTACTTTATCAAATACCTTTAGAACTCAGTCCCACATTAGATGCAGCTCCATTACAAATGTATTTTTGACTACAGGTATGTTTTGTCTTATGAGGTATCTTATCTTTTGAACTCAACGTCTAGATTAGCTGCGACTTCACTGTGAGCCTCAGACAGGAACCTTCTAAGGAAAGAAGTTCCATTCTTTGATTTTAGCAACTTTTTTTTTTTTTTTTTTTTTTTTTGAAAGGTCTGGCTGTTCAGGCTGGCCTCAAATTCCTGGGGTCAAGTGATCCTTCTGGCTCAGCTTCCAGAGTAGCTGAGACCACAGATATGTGCCACCATGCCTGACTGCCTTGCACTGATTTTGAATGTAGGTTCCCAAAGAGAGAAAAATAATAATAAGAACAATATTTACACAGTGTTTTTTTTTTTTTTTTTTTTTTTTTGAGAAGGAGTTTGCTCTTGTTGCCCAGGCTGGAGTGCAAAGGCGTGATCTCGGCTGACTGCAACCTCCGCCTCCCAAGTTCAAGAGATTCTCCTGCCTCAGCCTCCCGAGTAGCTGGGATTACAGGCATGTGCCACTACGCCTGGCTAATTTTTGTATTATTAGTAGAGACGAGGTTTCACCATGTTGGCCAGGCTGGTCTCGAACTCCTGACCTCGTGATCCACCTGCCTCGGCCTCCCAAAGTGTTGGGATTACAGGCATGAGCCACTGCCCCCAGCACACAGTGCTTTTACATCTAGTTTGTGATTTGATTCTTACTAATTAGAAAGTCAAGCCAGGTGCTATAATCTCTATTTGATAGAAAAGGAAACTGAGGCACAAGGCTGTAAGTGACTCAGAAACCAAAATATTGGCCCTAGTAGACTGCAGACACCTCACAACTAAGACCCATCACAAATGGACTTCAGAGTACAGCCACCATCCAGAACTCCAATGTGAACCCCACGTGCTGAAAGTCAATGTCCAGTTACCCTCAGGGGGTGGCGGGTGACGTCGGAGGGGTCATTCACTTACTTCCTTTCTTCCTGCACAGAGTTGGGGTGCCTCATTTCCATCAAAGCACAGCCAAATTTCTGGAGGTGAAAACATATGGGTGAAATTAGCACATCTTAGTAAATGGGAAATCAGGTCAGGCACTGAGGGTCTGGGGTCCTGGCTGTCACAGAAGAGACTGATGCCTGGAGGTCAGGATGTCAGGAGTGGTCAGGGGCTCAGGCTGGACAGTAATGCCTGGGTTACAGACTCAGCGGATACACCTGCTGTTTAAATGACTACAGATGAGGACTCCCTACCTCCAGCACACAACTTCCCTTTGGAGACTTCCTTAAAAATATTGTCCCCACGTCCCTCATCTACATCAGGGGATATCAAGCTCATGATACGAGCAGCCACTGCAAACAAATAGCTTATTTAGGTGACAATGTTTTCACCACGAACTTGCTAACTAGTGGACACCCGTAGACTTAGTACTTGGAATTGTCCAACCTTTGTATAACTTGGATCCAAATGGCAATTACTGGCTTTGGGCTCTGGGAGGGTTTGCTACTGAATAGCAGGTGCAGGAAGAGTCTCAACTGTGGCCTCCACTTCTTCCTGATGATGGAACCACACTCTTAAACAGGTAAAAGCACATCTCACCTCCCCATTCTCAGGGGGATCTCCGTTGCCAAAGGTGCTGGTAACCACGAGGACCAGAGTTTCATGTTCCAGGTGCACGATGTCATATTCTTCCATGGACATCACCTAGGTGGGCGGGGCACAGGTATGGAATGGGGAGAGGAAGAAGGGGATGAGGAGAGAAAAGAGGTGGGAGAGACAGGAAGCGATGGGGGAAGGGGAAGAGGAGAGAAAGGAAAAAATGTGAGTCATTTTGAGTCATCTCCTTTGGAAGGAGAACTGAAAGATCTGGGGTGTTAGTATTTCAGTGGGCTCAAGCGGGTAGAACTAAACGCTTTTTGGTAGCGTGGGACCTTGCTATGGTCACTGTGGCCTGAAGGATTGTGGAGAGTCTGGAGCAATGGTTCAAGAGATTGACAGACACAGAAACAGATCTTGATGGAATCCCTTGGGATTCTTAGAGTCAAGTGGTCTTGGATTCTTCCTGACCCCAGTTAGGTTGGGAATGATCTGGCTAGAGCTGACTAAGTCTTCTCAACCTCCTCTCCAATCCTCCCGCAAGCAGTGTGGAGCACCTGACCAAACAAGCCTGAGATATCTGCCTTCTGGAAAGATGATTGCCCTGTGTCTCATCACCGTCTGAGCAACATTTCTCAAAATAGGTTCTAGAAAATCCCAGTCTCCTGAGATGCTCCATGAAAACAAGTGATCCACGATCAAACATGTTTGGGAAACGTCTATATTCTATCCTCGCCTCTTTTGGAGATTAGAACACATGCTTATAGATTACAGGCTCTGGGAAGTCCTGCCACAGCAATGAAAACCATTGAGCTGTACTTCAGGCAAAGCTTCCCAAACTGACCTCAGAATGGTTTCTTATAAACCCTCTAACATTTTGCACTAAAGAAGGGAATTTCATTTTGTGACTCCTGGACTCATGGGGAGAGGGATATCACAGTCCCCTGAAATTTATACCAATGTGCGTGTGAACTGATAGGCATCGTCAGTTGTGCTTTCATCCTTTGCCAAAGGCTTCTTCTCTGTTGACTTCCCTCTCTCCCCTTCCCGCCTTAATTTACCATGAGAAGTTGGCGGAGCTAGGGCTACCCCCCACCTACCTTGGCATCAAAGGCGTGTTTGAAGATCTCACACAAGGTCTTGGCATAAGCTTGTGATTTGCCTGTCTCCGTGGCATACAGGATGGTTGCTTTGACCCTCTTGGCCATAGCCTGCCCCATCAGCTTGGCCGAGAACTTGACAGCTCTGGAGGGAAGAGGATGGAGATGAGAAATGGGAAATAGAAAAGGGGAGAGAAGATGCTGGATTGGGACTTTTGTGCAAGAACCAGGATCCATGAAATATAACAGAAGAGAACCCTCTTGATCTTTGATGACTTCAGGGGTTTCCTCAGAGGCACTCGAAGCCCTTGTGTTTAAGCGCCATATCATTAAATCCTTTACTTTATTTTATTTTTTTAAACTTCTCTAGAGATAATGCTGGATATTAAATCCTTTATTAAATCCCACCAGAGACCAGGCGCAGTAGCTCATGCCTGTAATCCCAGCACTTTGGGAGACTGAGGTGGGTGGATTGCCTGAGCTCAGGAATTTGCCACCAGCCTGGGCAACAAGGTGAAACCTCGTCTCTACTAAAATACAAAAGAATTAGCCGGGTGTGGCAGCTGTGTGCCTGTAGTCCTAGCTACTTGGGAGGCAAGGCAAGAGAACTGCTTGAACCCAGGAGGTGGAGGTTGCAGTGAGCAGCAATCGCACTACTGGGCACCACTGCACTCTAGCCTGGGTGACAGAGTGAGACTCTGTATCAAAAAAAAAAATTCCCACCAGAGCAATTAGTCATGAGTTAAAAGGAGTAGTTAAGTTTTGCTAGCTTGTTACTTGATTGACCCCAGGCTTAAGAACCTTGGTGTGCCAAGCATTGCCTCAAAAGATAATCGTTCATCCATTTCCTCTCCCTTTCATTCATCAAATATTTATTAAGTGCCTAACTATGTGTCAGTATTGTTACAGGAACTGGAGACCATAGAGAACATAGCTATGGCATGCAGCTGTCATGGGGCTCATATTCTAATGTGTGTGTGCATGCACATGTGTGAATGAGAGAAAGAGAGAAATGAATCACGAATAAGTCACCAGGCATTGAGTTTGACGGGATTTTAGAGGTTTATTGGTCCACAAGGGAAGGACCAGGTCTGATTTATTCAGCAATGCATGCCAAGGGTCTTGCACAGAGCCTGATACCCAATAGGCACTAAATAAATATCTATCAAAAGAAGTTATGGGACGGGCACAGTGGCTCATGCCTGTGATCCTGGCACTTTGGGAGGCTGAGGCAGGAGGATCACTTGAGGCCAAGAGTTTGAAACCAGCTTGGTCAACATAGCTAGACTTTGTCTCTATAAAAAAAAAAAATAAAAGAAGTTACGAATTTTAAAAGATGCTGCCACTGAGACCCTGGGGAGTCTGAACGTCAAATCCAGTCTCTTTCTAGCTAAACAGAGAAGCTCAAACCAGTGTCTCTTCCTTTTGCTCTACGGGGCAGGGCGAGTTCCGGGGGCACGTAGCAGACAGGCCAGAGGCTCAGAAATACCTGGGCTCGACTCCTGAACAAGCCTCCCTGTTGTAACTAGAAATCTCATTGCAGACAAGTTGCTAACTTTCCCCCACCTGGGATTATCGGCGTTAAGTTCACTAGTTTTTAGAATCAGGGAAACCGCCCACGCTACAGGAAGACTTAGCTACGGGGAAGAAACAGAAAGGAAGAAAAGGTACCTGGAGGGTTCCCTTGGAATAATTTGAGCATAAAGATGCATCTATAATTAATTCCCATTGTTACTACCCAAAACGCAATAGTGCAATTAATGTTTTAGATTTCTCCCTCCCCTTTCTCCCCAGAGACAGTGGAGCTGAACTGAAGCCAACAATTGCCCTCCCTGAGAATATCTGAGATGTTCTTTTTAGGGAAATGGTGGCTGCTGATGTGTTCTTGCTTGGCTGGGGGATGGGATTAGGGTGGAAGGAGAAAGATGGATGGAGGGAGGGGGACAGAGAGGGAGAGAGAGAAAAGAGAGGGAGAGAGGAGAGGGGGAGAGAGAGAGAGAGAGAGAGAGAGGGAGAGAGAGAGAGAGATTGATTGATTCTATGGGCTCTATTAATGGAGCCAGGACCTAGGTTTGGGTCCGTGCAAGACCAACGTGTGTCTTGCCTCTTGGGTCCAAGGCTTAGATGATACCTGTTGTACAACTAGTTATCATACATAGAGAATTCTGGACCTGAGGGAGCTGAGGAAACAGAATAGTGTCTTCTGACAAAAAGTTAGCTCCAGACAGCGGTCTTTGGTAAGTGGATCAGTGGGGTTCTCTTTTTTTGGGCAGAAGGCTGGCATCCCCATTAAATCAACTTAGTTAACCCTACCCTACTTGTCAGCTGGTTCCCTGGCTGGTCAGGCATTCTTCAGGAAAATCACTCCTCAATAGTCTCAGGCCATAACCCCCTTCCTGCCCCTCTTTGCTTAAACTTTGTTCATCTCATTCTTTAGCTCAATTGTCACCTTCTCTAGGAAGCCCTCCCTGACCTCCCAAACTCTGTGAACCATTATTATTTCCAGGAACCATTCCTCGATGGCACCTTCCACAGCTGCCATGTTTACTGTATTTGTTGATTCTTTGACAAAGGAATGGCTGTGAGCTTCATGACAGCAGGGACAGTGTTTGTCTAGCTTGCCATGATCTCCCTGAAGCCTCACATGGTGCCTGGCACAGAATCTGGGTAGCTAGGACTACAGGCATGTGCTGCAACACCCAGCTAATGAATGAATGAATGAATGAATGAATGAATGAGTCAACGAACAAATGAGTAAAATTAGGGGTCAGCTCTGAACGAGGGTGCTCTCCAGGCAGTAGTGTGCCAGGGCCGACTAACTCCAGCTCCTCCCTACTCTGGGTTCAGTGACTTCCTAGGCCAGGCGCAGTGGCTCACGCCTGTAATCCTAGCACTTTGGGAGGCTGAGGCAGGAGGATTGCTTGAGGCCAGGTGTTTGAGACTAGCCTGGGCAACAAAGTGAGACCCCTCCATCCTGGGGAACAGAGTGAGACCCTATCTCAAAAAAGAAAGAAAGAAAGAAAAAAAAGAAATTGGTTATAGTGGGAATATTTCCATCATGGAAACTGGCAAACATGAAAATCAAGGTATTACTATTACTATTTCTATTATTATTATTATTATTAGGAGGGCTGGTTCCAACACACCATTGCCCCCAGGACAAGAATTTAGGAAACTGGGATGAGGAAAGTGAGGCTGAGAAGGAGAAGAGTTGGAACAACATTCACAGCTCCGACTCAGAGGCAAAGAAGGCACAGGCGGCTGGAGAAGACCAAGAAATCATATCCTACGGAGAGGTCAGAGGGCACAGGAGTCTGCCCAGCCTCCTTCTCTGGGCTCTGAGTTTCTGCGCACATCCACCCCACCCGCCCACTGCAAGAAACTTACTCTGCCAGCTTCTTGAAGCCGATGGCTCGCCGCTTTGTGGGGGTCCCGTTGGTGCCTTTCCAGACGTGGGTGTTCCAGGGATCAGGCTGGGAAGAGAGGAGAGGGCTACGGTCACTCACTGCAGTGAGGGCATCTGGCTCCTGTTGGGGATGCTCAGGACCCCCTGGGGCTTGTGACTGCCTGACCCTCGGCCTCTGAAGGGAAGAATTCTGCCCACTGGTGACCACCATGGGGGTAGGGATGCAGGTGGGGGGGGTGTCCTTGCCCAGTGGGTGGTCTGGCCTTGGCAGTGTCCTGCTAGCTCTTTCCCCTCAGCCCCTAGTCCCTCTCAAACTCTCTTCTTGTGACCCCTGACTACTCACTCTCATTTCATCCCTCTCTCTCTAAGAGACAGGGGTCTCACTTTGTTGCCCAGGCGGGAGTGCAGTGGTGTGATCATAGCTTACTGCAGCATTGACCTCCCTAGCTCAAGGGATCCTTCTATCTCAGCCTTCCAAATAGCTGGGACTATACAGGGTGTGCCACCACACTCAGCTAATTTTCTCTCTTTCTCTCTTTCTTTTCTTTTCTTTTCCTTCCTTCCTTCCTCCCTCCCTCCCTCCCTCCCATCCTTCCTTCTTTTCTTTCTTTCTTCTTTCTTTCTCCTTCCTTCCTTTCCTTCCTTCTTTTCCTCCCTTCCCTCCCTCCCTCCCCTTCTCTCCCTCTGTACCTCTTCCCCCTCCCTGCTCTCCCTCTCTCCCTGTACCCTCTTTCCCTCTCCCGTTCTTTGTCCTCCCCCTCTCCTCCTCTCCCTCTCCCTCTCCCTCTCTTTCTCTCTTTCTTTCTGTCCCACTCTGTTGCACAGGCTGGAGTTGAGTGGCTTGATCTCAGCTCACTGCAACCTACGCCTCCTGGGTTCAAGCGATTCTCTTGCCTCGATCTCTTGAGTAGCTGGCATATGCCAGGCTAATTTTTTTGTATTTTCAGTAGAGATGGGGTTTCGCCATGTTGGCCAGGCTGGTCTCGAACTCCTGACTCAGGTAATCCACCTGCCTTGGCCTCCCAAAGTGCTGGGATCACAGGTGTGACCCACCATGCCCAGGCTGCTAATTAAAAAAAATTTTTTTTTAAGAGATGGGGTCTCACTATATTGCCCAGGGTGGTCTCAAACTCCTGGCCTCAAGCCACCCTCCCGCCTCAACCTCCCAAATCACTGGGATTATAGGCATGAGCCATCCTGTTGGCCTCATATTGTCTCTCTTGTTCTTTCAGCTAGACCCGTGCTATGGTAGCCATCAGTCACATGTGGCTATTGAGTGTCCAGAGTGCTAGCCTGGGTTGAAATGAGCCTAAATGTGACACACACACCAGATACAGGACACTTAATACGAAAAGAGGCAGGGACAGGGAAGGACCTGGTATTCGAAGGAGGGGGTGAGCCGGTAGTTGAGCATCTCCTGGTGGAACACAGGGGTGATGCTTCCGGACATGGGGGGCACAATCCACACCCAGTCGGCAGGGCAGCCTCCCCGGCAGCGGTACTCATTCTCCATGTGCTTAATGAAGGACTCGGTGGCGGAATGATGGTCAACAATGGTCACTTTGTCACTCTGTGGGAGGAGAGGCGACATGGGTCAGGAGGTACGAGAAGCTGGGGTATTTTGGGACTTCCTTCCTCAAAGAGCAGCATTTCCCAAAGGGGGGTCCCTGAGATGGTTTAGAACAGTGTGAAGTGAAATGGTGATTCTCTTTGCATTTCTTGTCCAGTCCTTCTACTTAGACCCAGAAGAAAGTCTTCGTTGGGTGCTATTGTATCTTTAACACCTTTCTTGTCGATCTTGCCAATCTTCCTCTCTCCCATCCCACCCCATACCTTTTTTTTTCTTTCTTTCTTTTTTTTTTTTTTTAAGATGGAGTCTTGCTAAGTTGCCCAGGCTGGAGTGCAGTGGAGTGATCTCAGCTCACTGCAAGCTCTGCCTCCTGGGTTCACGCCATTCTCCTGACTCAGCCTCCCAAGTAGCTGGGACTACAGGCGCCCGCCACCTCGCCTGGCTAATTTTTTTTTTTTTTGTATTTTTAGTAGAGACGGGGTTTCACCATGTTAGCCAGGATGGTCTCAATCTCCTGACCTCATGATCCACCCGCCCCGGCCTCCCAAAGTGCTGGGATTACAGGCGTGAGCCACCACGCCTGGCCTTTTTCTTTCTTTTTATATTTTTTAATTTTTATAGGTTTTTGGGGAACAGATGGTATTTGGTTATATGAGTGGTGATTTGTGAGATTTTGGTGCACCCATTACCTGAGCAGTAGACACTGCACCCAATTTGTAGTCTTTTACGCCTCACCCCTTCCCACCTTTCCCCACTTAGTCCCCAAAGTCCACTGTGTCATTCTTATGCCTTTGCATCCTCATAGCTTAGCTCCCACTTATGAGTGAGAACAAACGATGTTTGGTTTTCCATTCCTGAGTTACTTCACTTAGAATAACAGTCTCCACTCCCATCCAGGTTGCTGCGACTGCCATGAATTCGGTTGGTTCCACATTTTAGCAATTGCGAATTGTGCTGCTATAAACATGTGTGTGCAAGTATCTTTTTTGTATAATGACTTCTTTTAGGTTTTTTTTTTTTTTTGATACAGGGTCTCACTCTGTCCTCCAGACTGGAGTACAGTGGCGCAATCTCAGCTCACCGCAACCTCCACCTTCCAGGTTCAAGTGATTCTCCTGCCTCAGCCTCCTGAGTAGCTGGGATTACAGGTGCATGCCACTACTGCCCGACTAATTTTTGTATTTTTAGTAGAGATGGGCTTCACCACGTTGGCCAGGCTGCTCTTGAACCCCTGACCTCAGATGATCTACCCGCCTCGGCCTCCCAAAGTGTCGGGATTACAGGTGTGAGCCACTGTGCCCCGCCTACTTTTAGTTCTTTAAGAAATCTCCACATCGTTTTCCATAGTGGCTGTGCTAGTTTACATTCCCACGAGCACTGTAGAAGGATTCCCTTTTCACTGCATCCACACCAACACCTGTTATTTTTTGTTCATGGCCATTCTTGCAGGAGTAAGGTGGTATCACATTGTGGTTTTGATTTGCATTTCCCTGATCATTAGTGATGTGATGTTGAGCAATTTTTTCATATGTTTGTTGGTCGTTTGTATATCTTCTTTTTTTATTTGTTATTTATTATAGAGACAGGGTCTCACTATGTTGCCCAGGTTGGCCTTAAACTCTTGGGCTCCAGTGATCCACCTGCCTCGGCCTCCCAAAGTGCTGGGATTACAGGCATGAGCCGCTGTATCCACTGCCCCCTTCTTTTTTTTTTTTTTTTCTAATAAGAGTGAGGAACCTCAGGCAGTATCTAGCTAGAATTGCTCAACTTTGATTTGTTTTCCTTCTGTTTGCTTATTTGTTTATTTACTATTACAATTAACATATTTATGGCAACCAGTGCTGGCTCTCCATTTAGGGTGGTGATATAAAATCTTAAAATATACATTTTTCAGTAATAAAGATGAGTCGATTAAGAAATAAAACAAGCACATCCCAGCTGAGGTGGGGTGGACTGGCTGTCAGGGAAAGCTGGCCCCAGAGCCTGCTGTGGTTGATGGGTTTGAATTCACATCTTGTCCAAGCAATGTTTTCTCCCTGTGCCCACAAACCTTGTTCCCTTCCTACACTTTTCTGTTTTCATTATTCATCTTTTTTTTTTTGAGATGGAGTCTCGCTCTTGTAACCCAGGCTGGAGTGCAGTGGCGCGATCTCGGCTTACTGCAACCTCCACCTCCTGGGTTAAAGCGATTCTCCTGCCTCAGCCTCCTGAGTAGCTGGGATTACAGGCACCTGCCACCACACCAGGCTAATTTTTCGTATTTTTAGTAGAGATAGGATTTCGCCATGTTGGCCAGGCTGGTCTTGAACTCCTGACCTCAGGTGATTTGCCTGCCTTGGCCTCCCAAAGTGCTGGGATTACAGGAGTGAGCCATAGCGCCTGGCTAGTTTTCATTGCTCATCTCAATCACATCCCTATTGTCTCTGGCTTGACAGACTTCATACCAGTCCATCAGGCCACATGCCACACTCCTGAAACCTTATTCTCCATGGTTAAGAGAGAAGGGAGGTGGCCTCCTTCCCTCTTGCCCTGTTTCAACTTGTCCCTTCCCTTTGACATTCCTCAGTGCACCCACTCCATCCAGATCTGACATGGGGACCTATGGCTTCTATTCCTATCCCTCCATGGCTTGATTTAACACATTCATTCTGCTGGCTGTGTGTGCCTCTCATGTGCATCTATGGGGGTCTAGCTGCCTAGACTGGAAGCCCCCAGAGGACAGTGATGGCCCCTATTATAGAGAGCAACTTCTAGTCTCTAGATCTCCTGGTTGGCCCAGGAGAATCCTAGTTGATGTCCATTGTCCTGGCATAGTTATCACTAGTGTCCCCCTCTGGCTCTCAAAAGTGTTGTGGTGGCCAGGCGTGATTCACGCCTGTAATCCCAGCACTTTGGGAGGCCGACGCAGGTGAATCACCTGAAGTCAGAGTTCAAGACCAGCTTGGCCAACATGGTGAAACCCCATCTCTACTAAAAGTACAAAAATTAGCTGGGCGTGGTGGCAGGCACCTGTAATCCCAACAACTCAGGAGGCTGAGGCAGGAGAATCGCTTGGACCCGGGAGGTGGAGGTTGCAGTGAGTCAAGATTGTGCCACTGCACTCTAGTCTGGGCGACGAGTGAAACTCCATCTTTTAAAAAAAAAAAAAAAAAAAAAAAAAAAAGGGTTGTGGCTTGGTTGATATATTTTTCCAGCCATCCTGCTATAATGCCATTTAGCACAGCCTTATGCATTTAGGAGCCTATATGTTTCTGATCATGTTGAAGAGTATTTGTCTCTGTTATGTGATAGTCTGAGGCCCTAAGAGATGACAAGACAGAAAGGATGCCTCTTGTTTGAATTCTAAAGAACTCTAAGCAACAAGACAGAACACTCCCCTACCTCTGCCACTGTCTGTTCATCTCTTCCTCAAATGGTCCCCACCCAAGATCCACACTGGAGAGGAGGGCATGCAGGATGGAAGTTAGCCCATGTTCATGGACACAATCCCCCCAAAGGTGGTGTCTGGCAGTGAGGTCTCTTGACCCTCTGCACCAAGGCTCTGAAAGGTTTGAGCTCCCATTCGAGGCTTGACCCTGGTGGTGCGGGCCCTGGTGTTACCTGGAAGCTATAGAGAACTGCGATATTGATCTCCACCAGCGCCTGGTCCTTCCACAGGGAGGACGTCTTCCTCATGTCTAAGTTCATCTTCTTGGCCACTTCCTGAAAGAGGAAGGAAACACAGATTTACAGGCTGGAGTATCTCTGGATTTCAGATTGAAGAGGGACAGGGCTAGTGGCATGAAAGAATTTCTTTTCTTTTCTTATAAATGGAGTCTCACTTTATCGCCCAGGCTGGAGTGCAGTGGTGCGATCTTGGCTCACTGCAACCTCCACCTCCCGGGTTCAAGCGATTCTCCTGCCTCAGCCTCCTGAGCAGCTGGGATTACAGGCATCTGCCACTATGCCTGGCTAAGTTTTTGTATTTTTAGTAGAGATAGAGTTTCACCATGTTGGCCAGGTTGGTCTCAAACTCCTGGCCTCAAGTAATCCACCCGCCTTGGCCTCCCAAAGTGCTGGGATTACAGGCATGAGCCACCTTGCCTGGCCAAGAATTTCTTAATTAATTAATCAACGAATTCATAGACTAATGAACTCAATCATTCAAAAATTTTTTATTGATCTGTTGGACTAGGTATGAAATAAAAATGTAAAAATATTTAAAAAGTTACAGTTTTTATTGAGAACCTACCAGCAGCAGGAAACTAGAGACTTGGCTGGCCCTTTAATTATTAAGTTTGTATTCTAATGGGGGAGAGAGACACTTAATATAGTGGTAGGTGCTAATTCCTAGGAAGAAAATAAAGAAATGGGATGAAGAGGGATATAGGGGCTGGGCTAATTCTATCGGGGTAGTCAGGGAAGGCCCACTGTGGAGACAGCATGCAAGGTGAGGCCTAAGTGATGAGAAGCAGTCAGATATCCGCAGATCTGGGGAGGGAGTGCTCTAGGCAGAGGGGGCAGCAACAGCAAAGGCCCGGGGGTGGGATGAGGCTTGGGCTATCTTAGATACAGAAAGGCCAGAGGGTGCTTGGAGGGTGGTACGTAAGGGGTAATTGGTGGGAGTGAGACAGGACTAGCTGGTGTAAGATCTTGAAAGACAGGCCAAGGAGTCAGGATGTTATTCCAGATGTGATAGGCACAGGGGGCAGGATCTCTGGAGCATTTTTTTTTTACATGGAGTCTTGCTCTGTCGCCAGGCTGGAGTGCAGTGGCGTGATCTCGGCTCCCTGCCACCTCTGCCTCCTGGGTTCAAGTGATTCTCCTGCCTCAGCCTCCCAAGTAGCTGGGACTACAGGTGCGTACCACCATGCCCAGCTAATTTTTATAATTTTAGTAGAGATGGGATTTCACCATGTTGGCTAGGATGGTCTCGATCTCTTGACCCTGTGATCCACCCACCTCAGCTTCCCAAAGTGCTGGGATTACAGGCGTGAGCCGCTGCATCCAGCCCCGGGAGCATTTTAACAGAGATGTGGGTCTGTGAGTGCATCGTCTGCTTTCTAGTAGGAAACGCTCTTCATCCATCCTACTCTACCCCTAGAGTGGTCACGACCTAGCATCTAGGCCATGGGTGCTTTGAGCTTATGAGACCCCTGCCAGACTCCATCTGACAGATGAGGAAACTGAGAATCAGAGAGGTGCCTGGACTTGTCCAGTGTCCACAGAACCAGCTGGCCTCAGAGTTGGAGCCCAGGGAGATGCCTAATATCTAAGACCTTGGAGCTGCTCTCCAAGCAGCTGATGCCTTTGGTAAAATTACTTGCAAAAAAAGGAACTCATGACATGCGTGTTACAGCTAAGGCAGAAGCAGGAGCTGGTGTCAGGAGCAGGGAAGACCCAATAGCAAGTGCATTCATTAAAGCTCTGCTTTTCACTTCCTCTGTCAATACTAGTCACTGGTGGGAACCCAGGTCTCATTATGGGACTAGAATGCAGCAATTTCTTGGGTTTGGGTAAACTGCTCCCAGACCCAGCTGTCAACGTTTATACATCATGGCAGATGGAATTGGAGGGTCGGGTGGGAGAGAGGCTCATTTCAATTACCCGGAGACTACTCTTTGCAACTGAAATGTAAACAGAAATCAGAGAGCAGACTTATTAACTCACTCTTTGAGGCTGAGGCATTAGTTTCTGCTTGGGGTCTCTATCAGCGACACATTTGCGGGAAGTAAGAAATTTGATGTTGCTTTCCATAAATACATATAAAGCTGGAGTGTATGACAGAGGAAAGTACATACACAGAGGAAAGTATGTATAGAAGAACAATGCTATTGTTATTCTATGCATTATTTTGGTTAAAAGAATAGAAATTAATTGCAGGCGGGAAAAAATTCCTTAAGAAATAATCCCCAAATGCAAGTTAAGCCACATCTACGAAAACTGCCTGAAACATTTTTTCCTTCCTGCCAGAAGTTTGCACGCATTAGTGGTTGTTTAGGCTGGGCATGGTGGCTCACCCCTGTAATCCCGGCACTTTGGGAGGCCAAGGTGGGTGGATCACCTGAGGTCAGGAGTTCGAGACAAGCCTGGCCAACATGGTGAAACCCCATCTCTACTGAAAATAATAATTAAAAAAATTAGCTGGGTGTAGTGGTGTGTACCTGTAGTCCCCGTTACTTGGGAGGCTGAGGCAGGAGAATTGTTTAACCCGGGAAGTGGAGGTTGCAGTGAGCCAAGATCGCACCACTGCATTCAAGCCTGGGTGACAGAGCGAGACTCCAATCCCCTACCCCCACAAAAAAAAGAAAGAAAGAAAAAAGAAGTTTGCATGCATCAGTGGTTGTCCAGAAGAATCTCCTAGGGAACTTTGCAAAAATGCAGATACCCAGGGACCACCCCAGACCTATGACATCAGAACCCTAATGAGTGGGACCCAGGCATTGTGAAGCCCCCCAGGTACCCTCCGATGTGTGGCAAAGCTGAGGATCCCTGGCATCTGTTTTCCATAGTGATACCAGTGGCTTTTTTTTTTTCTTTGAGATGGAGCCTCGCTCTGTCGCCCAGGCTGGAGTGCAGTGGCATAACCTCAGTTCACTGCAACCTCCGCCTCCCCAGTTCAAGTGATTCTCCTGGCTCGACCTCCTGAGTAACTGGGATTATAGGTGCACGCCACCACGCCTGGCTAATTTTTCTATTTTTAGTAGAGATGGGGTTTCACCATATTGGTCAGGCTGGTCTCAAACTCCAGGCTGTGATCCGCCTGCCTTGGCCTCCCATAGTGCCGGGATTACAGGTGTGAGCCACCGCACCCAGCCAACCAGTGGATTTTTAACAACACAAACCTGATGCTCGGTTCTGGGTTCTAATCTTGGTTCTGTGCCTTAGTTCCTGTGTGACACAGGCCCTGTGCTTAACTTCTCTGTTTTTCGGGGCCCTCTTTTGAAACAAATCCAACAGCAGCAGAGTGTTGTTGGAGACATTTGCTGACAAAAACGCAGCAATCATGATGCTTTCACCAAAGTTGGGCTTCAGGAAGCACCGCTCCAGCACTTTTTAGTAGATACGGATGACTCAGCCCGGGAGGGAATCAGACCCTCCGCCGAGAAATGCTTAGAGTGGGGAACCACTGCCAACCCTCCTCCCTTGTTTTTTAGAAAAGACACTAAATATGTCCCGAGTTTGTCAGTCATCCTCAAGCTCTTCTAACAAGATTTAAGACCGAGAGGCAGTGGAGTGGGGTGGTAATGAACTTGGACCACAAAGTCAAACCAGACACGCGTCCCAGCCCTGCTGCCCGCTAGCTGTGTGACCTTGAGCTTGTCACCTGTCGAAGGAGGATTCTCATATCTCAAGGTTCAGGTGAGGATTAAATGAGAATGGAACACAGAAACAGTGCTTCGAATGGTGTTAGCATGTGCTATGTGCTATGTGTGTGTTTGCTGTCATTTTCATCTTTGTTAAAGACATGGATGCCCCTGGCATTTCCAGGGGCTTCTCTGGGATGGTAGTTCTATTCTAACCCCTTCAAGTTTCCAAGCGACCAAGCTCATCGTGGAGAAAGGGATTGCTGAGCTGGCACCCTCTCCTATGCACTTTTCCTTACGGTGACCAGGGAGGGTCCTTACCTCCAGGATATTGTAGCGGGAGTTGTCACAGTAGTCGCGGACACCAATCTCTGTGCCCATGTACCAGCCACTGAAGGGACAGGCGCTGAACTCCAGGCCGCCAATCTCCAGGAGCATGTTGGACACAGCAGGGAGGCCGTACCACTTCAGACCCAGGTCCTTGAACCACTCAAACCTGCGGGGAGTAACAGGGCCCAGCTCACCTGGAGCAGTTGTCTCATGGGCAGGACACCTTGAATCTAGAGATGCTGAAATGCCAAGGATTGAGTGGGACTGACAAGGTCAGAATACGGTTCCTGGGCCCTGCTTCAGATGTGTGCAATCACAGGTTCTGCAGCTGGGGCCTGAGAATGTACATTTTTAACATATTTCTCAGGTGTTTCGGATGGATATCCAGGCCTGGAAACTACTGCCTTAGACTGCCGTTTCTCTCCCAAACCCACCCTGAAAGTGAGTCCAGGAGAAAGTGTGGGGACCTCTCTCCTGCTTCCCTGACTGAGCACCCTCCTACCCTCAGGGCCTTTGCACAGGCAGCCCCTTCCTCCTGGGATCTTCTCCCTTCCTTCTGTGCTTTCAGTTCTTACTCGTACTTTAATTTTCAGCTAAAATCATGCTTATTCTGGAAAGCCTTCCCTGAGGCCCAGCTGGTCAGGGGATTTCATCCTAGGTACCATACATTTCCTTTGCAGCACTTTATTAAAATTAAGTGGTTACTTGAGTAATTATGTGTATAAGCACTTCTCATCCTTGAGATCATAAGCACCATGGGGGCAGGGATTGAGTCAGCCCCCAAAGCTAGCACAATGCCTGGCCTGCATGGGGAACAATGAACTGTGTTGGATGAGCCAATAAGTGAATGAATAAATGTAGAGGCTACATTTCACCAAGGAACTGGGTGAGTTCTCAGATATCAGGCAGTGTCAGGAGCCTCAGCACACCTGCTCCCTCTCCAAGGCTGGGGCTAGGGTGAGGCAGGTGTGGCACTATCCTTGGCTGTAAAATTTAAGTGGGGGGAGCTAATAGGTTGGTGCAAAAGTTGTCATGGTTTTCGAATTACTTATGAACTAATCTAATAGTTTCTCCCTCTTAAGTTTACTTTTGCCATTAAAAGTAATGGCAAAAACCACAATTACTTTTGCATCAACCTAATAAAAACTCAATAATTAATATCAGTGCTATTATTTATCTATACAATATTTTAGATTAATGCAACATTTAAAAAATCAAAATGTATGTAGATATATGATGAACAATAACGTAGGATTCCACCCTACACTTGTATGATACCTCGTTCATCTCACCCTAATCTCAGTCCTGAGCTGGATCCTATCTTTATTGAAAATGTTGATATATTGTTCATCATGTGCTTTTTTTTTTTAAAAAAAATTAACTTTGAGACCAGAAACTATAAAACTACTAGAAGAAAACATCAGGGAAATGCTTCAGGATATTGATCTGGGAAAGGATTTTATGAATAAGACCTCAAAAGCACAGGCAAAAAAGCAAAAATAAACACACAGGATTATATTAAACTAAAAAAACGTCTGCAGAGCAAAGAAACAAGCAACAGAGTGAAAAGACAACCTAAAGAATGGGAGAAAATATTTGAAAAATATTCATCCACCAAGGGATTAATATCCAGAATATACAAGGAACTCAAACATTTCAAAAGCAAAAAACCCAAACAATTGGATTAAAAAATGGGCACTTGCTCTGAACAGACATTTCTCCAAAGAAGACAGATAACCAACAAATACACGAAAAAATGCTCAACATCACTCATCATCAGGGACATGCAAATGAAACCCACAATGAGATAATATCTTATCGCAGTTAGGATGGCAATTATAAAAAGACAAAAAATAACAAATGCTGGTGAGGTTGCAGAGAAAAGGGAACTCTTAGACACTGCTGGTGGGAATACAGGAGTATGCAGAACTGTACGGCAGATCCTCAAAAAACTGCAAATAGAACTACCACGAGATCCAGCAACCCCACCAGTGGGCACTTATCCAAAGGAAAGGAAATCAGGTTAGGCGCAGTGGCTCACACCTGTAATCCCAGCACTTTGGGAGGCTGAGGCAGGCGGATCATTTGAGGTCAGGGGTTTGAGACCAGCCTGACCAACATGGTGAAACCCCGTCTCTACTAAAAATACAAAAATTAGCTGGGTGTGGTTGTGTGCGCCTGTAGTCCCAGCTACTTGGGAGGCTGAGGCAGGAGAATGGCTTGAACCTGGGAGGTGGAGGTTGCAGTGAGCCAAGATCGCATCACTGCCTGGGCTGGAGTGAGACTCTGTCTTGGAAAAAAAAACAGGGAAAGAGCATCAATATGTCAAAGTGATATCTACATCTCCATGTTTATTGCAGCACTATTCACAGTAGTCAAGATATGGAATCAACCTACATGTCTGACAACGGATGAATGGATAAAGAAAATGTGTGAGGTAAAGAAAATGTGTGAGATATACATATATATGTATATAAAATATATATTGACTATAGTCAATAATAACATAATTGTATGTTTCAAAATAACTTAAAGAGTATAATTTGATTGTTTGTAACTCAAAGGATAAATGTTTGAGGGGATAAATACCCCATTCTCCACGATGTGCTTATTTCACATTGCATGCCCATATTGAAACGTTTTATGTACCACATAAATATATACATAAATACATATATAAAAATATATACACCTACTATCTACCCACAAAAATTAAAGGTAATAATTTAAAAAAAAAAACTCTACCAGGTCTGGTATGGATCAAGTTCAAAAGAAATTTGGAGTCATGAACTCCAAATTAATGATCTCTCTCTCTCTCTCTCTCTCTCTCTCTCTCTCTCTCTCTCTCTCCCCCCACACTGGAATACCATTCAGCCATAAAAAAGAATGAAACCATGTCACTCACAGCAACATGGATAGAACTGGAAGACATTATGTTAAGTGAAATGAACCAGGAACCAACAGTTAAACACTGAATATTCTCACTCATAGGTAGAAGCTAAAAAAAAAATTGATCTCATAGAAGTAAAAAGTAGAACAGAGGATGCTGGAGGCTGGGAGGTGGAGGGAGAAGGGGGAATGGGGAGTGATTTGCTAAAGGATACAAAATTACAGCTAGAAAGGAGTAAGTTCTACTGTTCTATACCACTGTAGGATGACTATCATTAACATTAACATACATTTTCCAATAGCTAGAAGAAAGGGTATTGAATGTTTCCAACACAAAGGATAAGTGCTTGAGACAATGGGTGTGTTAATTACCCTGATCTGATCACTGCACATTATATATATTAAAACATCATTATATATCTCATGAATATATGCAATTATACATCAATTAGGAAAATAAAATGAAACATTAATTTTGATTTAAAAATATTGCATTCTTACATTTATCTTGATTATTACTGAGTGTGTTAGCAACCCCCTCGATTTTGTTCAATCCCAGGTTTGAGTCTAGTGCCTCACAGTGGGTGTCCTTCACTCTCAAAGGGCAAATGCTGTTTTTGTTGCTGGCCTGAGACCTTGAAGCAACTTTATGACTCCAAATTCCTTTTGAACTTGATCCACACCAAGTTCTGTAGAGTTTTTTTTTAATTATTATTTTTCATTTTTTGTGGGTACATAGCAGGTGCATGTATTTATGGGGCATATGAGATGTTTTGACGCAGGCCTGCAATGTGAAATAAGCACATCATGGAGAATGGGGTATCCATCCCCTCAAGCAGTTATCCTTTGAGTTACAAATTATCCAATTACACTCTTTATTTTAAAATGTACAATTATGTTATTATTGACTAGAGTTACCCTGTTGTGCTATCAAATAATAGGTTGTATTCATTCTTTCTAACTGTTTTTTTTTGAGATGGGGTCTTGCTCTGTTGCCCAGGCTGGAGTGCAGTGACACGATCTGGGCTGAACTGCAACCTCTGCTTCCCAGGTTCAAGCAACTCTCCTGCCTCAGCATCCCAAGTAGCTGGGATTATAGGCACGTGCTACCATGCCCAGGGAATTTTTGTATTTTTAGTAGATACAGAGTTTTGCCATATTGGCCAGGTTGGCCTCGAACTCCTGACCTCAGGTGATCCTCCTGCTTTGGTCTCCCAAAGTGCTGGAATTACAGGCGTGAGCCACCGTGCCAGGCCTCTATTTTTTTTTTTATATATCTCTTAACGGTCCCAATCTTCCCCTTACCCCCTTCCCAGCTTCTGGTAACCATCCTTCTACTCTTTATATCCATGAGTTCAATTGTTTTGATTTTTAAATCTTATAAATAAGTAAGAACATGTGATGTTTGTCTTTCTCTGCCTGCCCTATTTCACTTAACGTAATGATCTCCAGTTCCATCCATGTCATTGCAAATGACTGGATCTCATTCTTTTTTATGGCTGAATAGTACTTCATTGTGTATCTGTGCCACATTTTCTTTATCTATTCACCTGTTAATGGACACTTAAGTTGCTTCCTTAGTGTTGCAGCTATCGTAAACAGTGCTGCAAGAAACACAGGTGTGCAGATATCTCTTCGATATACTGATTTCCTTTCTTTTGGGTATATACCCAGCAGTGGGATTGCCGGATCATATGGTAGCTCAATTTTTAGTTTTGTGAGGAACTCCAAACTGTTCTCCATAGTGGTTGTACTAATTTACATTGCCACCAACAGTGTACAAGGGTTCCCTTTTCTTCACATCTTTGCCAGCATTTGTTATTGCCTGTCTTTTGGATAAGCCATTGTAACTGAGGTGAGATGCTATCTCATTGTAGTTTTGATTTGCATTTCAATTGAGAGAACTGTTTAAAACTCTACAGGACTGGATCATCAGATCCTATAGAGTTTTAAACAGTTCTCTCAATTGAAAATGTGAGTCAGGTACATGGCTCACGCCTGTAATGCCAGCACTTTGGGAGGCTGAGACGGGAGGATCACTTGAACCCAGGAGTCCAAGACCGGCCTGGACAACATGGCAAAACCCCGTCTCTACAAAAAATACAAAAATTAGCCAAGCATGGTGGTGTGTGGCTGTAATTCTAGCTACTTGCAGGGGCTGAGGCAGGCGGATCACTCGAGGCTGCAATGAGTCACGTTGGAGCCACTGCACTCCAGCCTGGGCAACAGCGGCAGACCCTGTCTCAAAAAAAAAAAAAAAAAAAAAAAAAGAAAGAAAAAGGAACAGGAAAAGAAAAAGCATGCTCACAACAAGACAGTATGGTGCTTCTGCTCTTTCAATGCTTAGGGCTGGAGGAAGGGCAGGTCCTTGTTAATGGCTTAGGAGTGAGATGGTTCAGAAAAGGTGGTGGTCTCCAGGCTGGTCAAAGAGGTCTTTTTGCTCCTTGAGGGAACTCACTCTGCCCAAGCCCGCAGTGAGGACAGGAACCAAGCCCTCCTTTCCCCTTTCAGCTTCTGTCTGGACTAGAAAGAAAGCCAGAGGGGATGGGGCTGGGCAAAGAGGGGCACTGGGCAAACCCACTCACCCTCTCCCACCCCTTGCCGGTCCCTCTTACTTGGGGTGCCTGATGGGAACTTCCAACACCAGCTCTGGAGGAATCTGGAAGAGCTCAGGGTCATTGCCGTTGGCCTGAAGCAGGAGCGGCAGGACATCAAAGCGGCCTCTCGGGGGTTTCCAGCCCTGCTGTATGCAAATCTGCAAGCAGACCCGGCCAGGTAATGCCACTGTACCCCACACCCTACAAACATGAGCCTTATGTGGGAAGCGGGGGTGGGGTGGATAGAGATCCAAATGCAAGCCCCCAGGAGACATTTCCTCTGGAGGCTCTTGGATCACGTCACCTGCTTTATAAAGTTCTCCCTGACATCATCATGTATTAGGCTGGTGCAAAAGTACTTGTGGGTTTTGCCATTACTTTCAATAGCAAAAACCACAATTACTTTTGCACTAACCTAGTAGCTAGCATGATTTCTCATGGGCCCACAGGACAGAGGGCAAACCCTTCCTCTGGCACTGAGCATTGTTTTCCGGGTCTTCCCTGCCCACTGGAATTCCTAGAGGGCAAGGGCTGAATCTGACTAACAAGTGCATCTGCAGGTTGCCAGCTCTGTGTTTGTATTAGGTGTTGTAAGATACAAAGAAAATCTGCTGAATTTGATGAAGGCAGATGTATTAGAATTACAGTATAAAATGCACATGTTACAGCAGCTGTCCAATAAAAATATAATGCAAGCCACCTAAGTAATGAAAACTTTCTAGTAGCCACATTAGAAAAAAAAAACAACAGGTGAAAATAATTTTGATTTTATCTTTTTTTGCTAGGCTTCTTCAAATCATGGGAGAAAATAATTTTAATAATATACTCATCTTAAAGTTCAACAATGTCCTTGATATTAATATTATTAGTAGTATATTAAAATATTACTATCATATATTCTAATTATATATTTGACATTAAAATTAAATATGTAACACACTTATTCATCCAATAAATATATCAAATAATACATTAAATATCAACATTAATTTATAAATAATAAATTATTATGAGTGTATTTAAATATATTTAACATTAAAATTAAAAATATACTTATTAATCCAGTGAATCTATTAATTTGTTAATAAATATATTACCCTAATGTATCCATATTATTACTATTTCAACATAAAAAATGATGAATGGGCCGAGCGTGGTGGCTCATGCCTGTAATCCCAGCACTTTGGGAGGCTGAGGTGGGCAGATCATGAGGTCAGGAGATTGAGACCATCCTGGCCAACATGGTGAAACCCTGTCTCTACTAAAATACAAAAAATTAGTTGGGCATGGTGGTGCACATCTGTACTCCCAGCTACTCAGGAGGTGGAGAATTGCTTGAACCCAGAGTTGCAGTGAGCTGAGATTGCACCACTGCACTCCAGCCTGGCAACAGGGCGAGACTCCGTCTCAAGTGACCAACAGCCACAGGTGTCCCTATTAGGGCAGGGTTAGAGGGTTTCAAAATGTAAAATTACATGGTTAGGTTTGGAATGATTCTTTGTGCTTAGTAAAAAGAGGAAGCACCAAATCATGGTACAGGAGAACACATCCTGCTCAGCAAGGTTTCCAGAGATGGAGCAAGAGGAAGAGTTTGGGGCGTTTATGTTCTGGTGACCACGAAGACAAGGTCAGCCAAGTACACAGTTAGTGCTCAGCCAAGTGGAGCAGTGAGTCTGAGCCTGGCTGCCTCTAAAATGGCACAGGTGCAGCTCCTGGTTGCCCTGGTTACAGTCCCCTCCTCATGAGAATAACATTTTCATAAGAAAAGCCACAGGCAAACGAAGTTGGCAGCCAGGAAGGAGTGGAGCAGCCCTTAGCTTTGCCAGCTACATTTTCAAGGAGATACCACCGGGGAGGGGCTTGAGCAAAGGACAACAGTGAAATTCAGCAGGGTATGAGTTGGGTGATAAAGGAAAGGTGGTAGCAGGCCTGTGTGCCTGAGATCATTCTAGACCCGGGATGTGATTGTGCTGTCGTGTGGGCATGGTCCGTATAAGCTACCATGTCTTACCTGTGCTACCTGCCCACACTACTACCTGGAAGGAACCCTGGGCAGGGAGATGGTGGTAGTCACTTTCCTGGTGGCTTTTATGAATTGACTTGGGCTACCAGTAACTGTAGTGATACTGGTGACAGGCAAAGTCAAGCCTACTCAAAGGCTCGGGTGGCTCAAATTGTCATATCAACAAATGAATGAATGAATGATATGAAACTGACATATCTGATAACTCAGAAAAGGTGGATGCCAGATATGGCTTCCATTTCTCGGCTCTTCCTTTCCTGGTGAGAGGCAGGAGGTTTGGACTGTAGTTCTAGCTTTTCTTCTCTACTCATTTAGCAGTCTTTTTTTTTTTTTTTTTTCTTTTTTTTTGAGATGGTGTCTCACTCTGTTGCCCAGGTTGGAGTGCAATGGCATGATGTCTGGTCACCGCAACCTCTGCCTCCCAGGTTCAAGCGATTCTCCTGTCTCAGCTTTCCGAGTAGCTGGGATTACAGAGGCATGTGCCACCACGCCCGGCTAATTTTTGTATCTTAGTAGAGACGGGGTTTCACCATGCTGGCCAAGCTGGTCTCGAACTTCCGACCTCAGGCGATCCGCCCGCCTCAGCCTCCCAAAGTGCTGGCGTGAGCCACCGTGCCCGGCCCATTTAGCAGTCTTGAATAACTCACTTGGCCTTAGTGAGACTCGGTCTACCTATCTGTGAAATGGGAGAACAGTTCCCATCAGGAGGGCTGAGTGAGGTAATGGCATGAAAGTGACCAAATGTCCAGCTGTAAAATAATTAGAATGGGGAACAGCCTGATGGAGAAGTAGGTTTGGAGAAGAGTAAACGACCCCATTGGCGGCTGTCCCTGTGATGACAGTATTAAGCCTGAAAAAGTCTGTGGGTACAAGTCTGGGGACGTAAGAGCCCATGTTGGGGCAGGGTAGGGGGCGGAAACGCTCGCACCTCTGTGAACTGCACATTGGCCGGGTCCCCCAGGGTGGAGCCGTCGGGCTGCTTGTAGCCTGCGTAGCGGATGAGCTGGGAGTTCCAGACTCGGAAGTCGTGCTTGCCGTCTGTCCTCTGGGGGAATATGGTGATGGCAGACCTGTGGTGGAGAGAGGGGAACACCCGGCATCAGGGCGGGACTTGCGCTGTGAGAATATACTAAACATGGTGCCACCCAGGGCCACAGCCGCTTGACGCTCAGGGTGGATTACCTCCGTGCCAAGGTCCTCAGCGCCAAAGGAGCGGCGGTTGGAAGGGAGGGGCCATGCTCTGTTCCTCCACCGGAACTATGGTGTGAGGAAAACGGTGGAGGGGGTGGGAGGCCTCATGCCACCATGCTGAAGAAACGAATCTCTTTCTAGCTGGAGACTTTTAAATAATATTAACTTGAGCCAGTCTTCCAAAGAGTTATTTTGCAGCCAGTTATTTCCATGGCAACATCAGACCTTGTTTCCCCTTAAGAATGCACTATGTGCTGGGGGCAGTGGCTCACCCCTATAATCCCAACACTTGGGGAGGCCGACGCGGGTGGATCATGAGGTCAGGTGTTCCAGACTAGCCTGGCCAACATAGTGAAACCCTGTCTCTACTAAAAATACAAAAAATCAGCTGGGTGTGTTGGTGCACGCCTGTAATCCTAGCTACTTGGGAGGCTGAGGTAGGAGAATCGCTTGAACCTTGGAGGCAGAGGTTTCAGTAAGCCGAAATCACACCACTGCACTCCAGCCTGGGTGACAGAGTGAGACTCCATCTCAAAAAATAAAAATAAAATAAAAATAAAAAAAGAATGCACTACAGGCCAGGCATGGTGGCTCATGCCTATAATCCCAGCACTTTGGGAGGCCAAGGCAGGCGGATCACGAGGACAAGAGATGGAGACCATCTTGGCATACATGGTGAAACTCTGTCTCTACTAAAAATACAAAAATTAGCTGGGCGTGGTGGTGCATGTCTGTAGTCCCAGCTACTCGGGAGGCTGAGGCAGGAGAATCGCTTGAACCCGGAAGGTGGAGGTTGCAATGAGCCGGGATCGCACCACTGCACTCCAGCCTGGCAACAGAGCAAGACTCCATCTCAAAAAAAAAAAAAAGAAAAGAAAAAAAAAATAATAGTAATGCGCTGCAGAATCCGGATTCCAGTCTTCTCCCAGTCATCATTAATTCTCATCCACTTTACCCACCCCCCTTACCAAACCAAAGTTTATAGACTTCTGATTAAAAAGCAATCAGCTTGCATTTGCATTCACATTTATTTATTTAAAAGAAAACTGCAGGTCACCAGCCATTGGCTTCGCCTGCCTAAACAGGCAACAGTGAAGGCTGTATTCTTTTATTAATCGTGGAAAGCTGTTTGCTGAAGGTCCTATCTGGAGCCCTGGTCTCTCTGTTAAAAGGGAGATCAACAAGTATTAGGTGTTAACAATATCTTAGCACCAAACAGCCTTTCTCCTCGACATCATCATCAGGATTGGAAAAAAAAAAAAAAAAAAGAAAAAAAAAGGAAAATAACTTTCTCACAATGTAGTTCAATGTCATATTACGGCAGGAGCTCTTGCCAGCTGAACTCAGTGGTCCCCCATCCCAGGCTATGGTCCTGGCTTCTTGTGTCAACACAAAGATGGCATCTCGGGTCCAACTCATTGCTTCTAGATCTTCTCACACAAACATTTCTGTCCAGAACTGTGTCCCTGCTGATCCCCTTGGCTGGAACCCCCCTCTTCCATTTTATGTCAAAGTTCAAGACCTGATTCAAATCCGCTTCCTCCATACAGCAACCCCTGTCTCATCTAGTTTCACAGGGCCTTCTTTCTGAGCATGGTTTTTAGGTCTTACTTTCTACACAAGACAATGTAGCATGTAATTCTGCAGGGGTGATGCATCACAGCTGAAGGTGAGTGTAGAATCCAGGCTGAAGGCCAAAATCACATGGAGTCAAAGATGCTCTTAAAGATCTCTTAACAGAGGCGCCATCTTGGAGATGAACACAGAGTGAGTCAAACAGTTTTCCCTCCAGCACTAAAACACATTGCTGTTTCTCTGGTTGAACATCCGATAAAGGGTGTTTGTGTAATGCGGATATTTTTAAAGTGTGTTTAGAAACACCAGAATCACACACAGTGAGTGGAGTGTGATGCCTACTCTATGTGCAGAAACTGAGACCAACGGAGGAACCAGAACACATATCTATGCCTCTACTCTCCTGCATCCCTGAGCACAGTGTAAACCTGCATCTCTCCCTCTCTTCTTCTCTCTGCTATCCTTCCCCTCTTATGCATAGATTATTCCTATAACATGATACACATTTTTTTTTTTTTTTGGAGACAGTCTCACTCTGTCACCCAGGCTGCAGTGCAGTGGTGCAACCTCTGCTCACTGCAACCTCCACCTCCTGGGTTCAAGCAATCCTCCCACCTCAGTCTCACAAGTAGCTGAGACTACAGGCACACTCCAGCACGTCCTACTAATTTTTTGCATTTTCTGTAGAGATGGGGTTTTACCACATTGCCCAGGCTGGTCTCGAACTCTTGAGCTCAAGTGATCCATTCACTTGGCCTCCCATCTTGCTGGGATTTCAGACGTGACCCACAGCGCCCGGCTGCATGGTATACATTCTTACATCGTTCTCATCGTTTTCAGACATGAGGGTTAAAAATTATAAAAAGAAAAAGAATCTGTTGAATGTTTTCTTTAACAGATCTCACAAAGACCCCCTAATACAGCAGTGAAAAAAGTGGAGGTGCACTGCTGGGCCTGGGGTGACGATGCTCAGAGCCTGCTCACAGCCCCATTTGAAAACTACCAGAAGAGACTAGGCGTGGTGGCTCACACCTGTGATCCCAGCTCTTTGGGAGGCTGAGGCAGGTAGATCAGCTGAGGTCAGGAGTTTGAAACCAGCCTGGCCAACATGGTGAAACCCTGTCTCTACTAAAAATACAAAATTTAGCTGGGCATGGTGGTGCGTACCTGTAATCCCAGATACTCGGGAGGTTGAGGCAGGAAAATTGTTTGAACCTAGGAGGTGGAGGTTGCAGCGAGCCAAGATCGTGCCACTGTACTCCACCAACCTGGGTGACAGAGCAAGACTCTGTCTCAAAAAAAAAAAAAAAAAAGAAAAAAGGAAATACACCAGAACGCCCAAGAACCCATAAACTCCTTGAGGACCTGGCCTAACCAGGTCCAGATACACGGGAGGGTTCTTTAATATTCTTTAAGGGGTGAGGTCTCCAGGAAAAGAGTTGTCTTGGGAAAGAGACCTAAATACCAATTCCTCATGTGGGTCCAGGCTTAGATTACAGGCCCTTTTCTTACTGGTGAACTCAGAAAATTGGCAAACCCCATTTCCTTCTTAAGGAAGAGAAGAGACACATCCAAGAAAACTCATGCTTCATGCAGAGAAGCCACTTTTGGATGAACTCAGTGAAGCCCAGGGGCTTGTGGGAATATCCCTGCAGTGATCCTGTGTGGCTCCAAGATGGGACTGGTGCTCAGTGGCTGGGAACAGATGCTATGGCAGCAGTGAGCCAGCAGAGTCAACAAGTGTAGCCGGCTGTCTGTGGGGCCCCAGCTGTTCCTTTCCACCTGTCCCTCTCCCAGCTGAGACTTGCCAGCGTGGCCGCCACCAGCCACATGGATGTCTGCCTGCCTCGGCCTGCTCCCTGTGGCTTTGTTCTTTGTATTGTTGAAGAGGAGTCCAAGGCGTGGCTTGGCTGGGTGGAACCTGAAGGGGCAGTTCCCATCACATTGGCAAGAGAAATTGCCTTTTAAACCAAGGAAGATTTGGTTTGGTTTGTCTCCAGGCGACAGAGCAAGACACAGTAAAAGCAGGTCACCACCAGCAATAGGATTTTCCGATTCCTGGGAATCTCAACTATTTGTTCCTGTCCTCTCCACGAAGGATACTGAACTGTGGGTTGAACATGATATTTGCTGCTGTAGTTTTGCCAACCACACAGGAGTCCACTTGCCCCAGAAAAGAAAGAACATGGGGTGGGGTATGGAATAAAGATGCTGGGGCCAGGCGCAGTGGCTCATGCCTGTAATCCTGGCATTTTGGGAGGCCGAGGCGGGTGGATCACTTGAGGTCAAGAGTTTGAGACCAGCATGATCAACATCATGAAAGCCTGTCTCTACTAAAAATAAAAAAATTAGCCAGGTGTGGTGGCGGGTGCTTGTAGTCCCAGCTACGCAGTAGGCTGAGGCAGGAGAATCGCTTGAATCTGGGAGGCAGAAGTTGCAGTGACCCGAGATCACACCACTGTACTCCAGCCTGGGCGACAGAGCAAGACTGTCTCAAAAAAAAAAAAAAAAAAAAAAAGGTGCCAGGACACCTCTCCCTGCTTGGCCTGTCTCCCTGAGATGACGAGTATTTCCCTGGCAGGTGAGCTGACTCCAGAGTCAAAGTATAATGCTGTGGGGACTTTTGACCCCCTGCTCCCCAATGCCCAGCTGGTCAGCTCACCTGAGGTTCCCTTTGTTGGTAGCATACTTGACGTGGTTGCAGATGTAGTTGAACATCCCGTGGGCTGTGGTGCAGTCGCGAGCATCGAATACCTGGAAGAGGCGCAGGGTGGAACTGATTGCCTCTTCTTTCCCTCCCTAGTTCCCCAGCGCAATCTTCCCATTTTAGGAGAACCCAGATCCCACTCTAGCTGCTGCTCTATTGGTGAAGTGGGCACCTCATTACTGAGTCCCAGGCTGCATTTTATATTTTCTCTTTTCTATCCTAATAACCAAGGCCAATTTGAGCAGGAAAAAAAAAAAAAAAATCCCCTAAAAGTAGGCATGGCATGTAAGTGAACATGGGAAAGGAATGGTAAATGAAGGGGAGTTTAAATGTGTTGGTTACATTTCCTGTTAGGTTACTAGGGATTAGGGATTAAAAAAAAACAAAACAGAACAAAAATCAAACAAAATCCCCCTGATCTTGATAACAAATCTACTTCCAACTTTAAACTATTTCCTAAAATAAAATCATAACCAAGGGACACAGAAACGAATGCCTTCAGGGAGTAGGCAGATAAATAAGCTGAGTAGGTGCAAGACAAAAGGGAGTGGTGAGGTCTGTGGTCAACTGAAAAGTATAAGCCCTCCCTTCCAAGAGATATGCAAGTTCATTTTTGCAAAAGCACTGCGTTGGCTAAATAAGACATGATTATCATCTAGAGCTGGCTGTGATCTTAGAATGTGGGACCGCATGACCACCATCTGATAGGTCACCATGGCCACCAGGTACCCTTGATAGAAGCTTATCCTTTCTAAAGCTCCATCCACTCTCCTTCCCCTCTTCCCTCATTTATGGGCTCTTCAAGGTATCTGACTTCACCACCTACCTGCAGCTTGGACCACTGGATCCTGCCCACACAGCGCGAGGCATTCCGCCAGGCATGCTTGGCCCCGTAGATGAGCTCTGTGTCCTTGAGCTGGTAGGTGCTAGTGGTTTCGATCTCTTTGTTCACCTCTTCCAGCCTTTCCATGTGGGCTTTGGAGCCAAATCTGAATGAAGAGGAAGGGACATGGGAACATCACCCTGTCTTCTGAATTAGAAGTTGGTAGAAGGGGAGAGCTATTCCAAGAGGCTGGAAGCTACAAAAAATTCCAAGTTGACTTCTGGATGCAACGGTTTGATTTCTGGATGCAAGATAAAGCAGACACTGCAAACTCAAATACCCACAAAGGCTGAACATTGTACATACAACTCAACCAGCTGGGTGGGGACTGTGGCAAACGGGTGACCCAGGCCTTGTCCAAAGGGGGCAGCCATGACTCCACTCCTGCCACTTGTCACCTGACAGGAGAGGGGACCCATGACTGCCAAATCTTTCCAGAGAAACTGGAAATCTGACTTTTAAAGGGAACTCTTCTAATTTTTAAATATTGGCAATGAATTCAATTTTAGAAAGTTAAAAAAATTTCTACGAAAAATTTTTGGTTTACAGAAAGGTATATAGGATAATATAATAAACCCCCATGTCCCAAGCCTAAAAAATAATGTAATAGTTTCTTGGGGAAGGCTTCCCCATGGTAGACAATTCTCTCCCCAGAAGTGGCTGCTATGTTGAACCTGGCGTTTACCATTCTCACACACTTGTTTATATCTTTGCCACATGTGTATCTATCCTTCAACCATGTACAATGTCATTCTGCATGTTTAAAGCATTCACATAGGCTGGATATGGTGGCTCACATAATCCCAGCACTTTGGGAGGCCGAGAAGGGTGGATCACTTGAGGCTAGGAATTCGAGACCAGCCTGGCCAACGTGGCAAAACTGTCTCTACAAAAAATACAAAAATTAGCTGGGTGTGGTGGCGCATGCCTGTAATCCCAGCTTCTCAGGATGCTGAGGCAGAGAATTGCTTGAGTCTGGGAGGCAGAGGTTGCAGTGAGCCAAGATCATGCCATTGCACTCCAGCCTGGTGACAGAGCAAGACTCTGTCTCAAAAAAATAAATCAATAAAACAATTCGTATAAATGGTGCTATACTGGATGTATCCTTTTACAATTTATCCTTTCTTTTGCTCAAAGTTAGCTATGAACTGCAGTTCCATTAACATGCAGAGCACTAATCCCTTTGATTTTTATGGTTGTATAGTATTCCATCACTGGAATATACCACAACTTACCCATTCTCCTGTTGATGGCATTTATGTGGTTTCTTTTTCTTTTCTTTTTTTTTTTTTTTGAGATGGAGTTTCACTCTATTCACCCAGGCTGGAGTGCAGTGGTGTGATCTTGGCTCACTGCAACCTCCATCTCCTAGGTTCAAGCGATTCTCATGCCTCAGCCTCCCAAGTAGCTAGGATTATAAGCGTGTATCACCATGCCCTGCTAACTTTTGGATTTTTAGTAGAGGTAAGGTTTCACCATGTTGGCCAGGCTGGTCTTGAATTCTTGGGCTCAAGCGATCTGCCGCCTTGGTCTCCCAAAGCGCTGGGATTACAGGTGTGAGCCACTGTGCCTGGTCTCTTGTTGGATCTTTAATTTTAATTTTTTCCTGCTACAAACAATGTTTCAGTGAACATTCTTACTGATGGTTTCTTGTGAACAGGTGTGAGAATTTCTCTAGGGTATGTATCTAGGCATGGAATTGCTTGAAATTTTTCAAATTATAAGCAACCCTTTGCAGGTGAAACAAAAGCACTTCCGGGGAATAAATGTGACCTATGGGTAGCCAGTTTTAAGCCTCTGTGTATGGCAGAGGCCTTGTGCTTTGGCCTTGGTTTGCAAAGTTGGGGCTGACATCTTTGTCTCCAGCATTCGATAACTTACCTTGGGCTCCCCAGAATTGACATACACTTGCCTTTTAATTGATGAATAGTATTGATCAATAAACTCTTTGGCGAGAGGGAAGAGCTGTTCTTTTGTGCGGACATCTTCAGGCCTCCGTATATGCTGAGAAGGAAGCATGATGGAGCCCATGCAGATGTACTCAGTGCATCCCGTTTCCTGGAAGATCAAGAGATTTGGGCTATTGCTTGGTTTTACCCAAGAGTGGCAGGTGTTAGGCTGTGGGCTTGGATCTCATATTCATGGTTGAATTTACCTGACCCTTAATTCCAAGAGGCAATTTCTCAAGTGCCAGCTTCAAATCCTTGCTGGATATGGTCATAGCCATGTTAAGGAACACTAAGTAGCATTTTCAGGTTCCTAAAGTATTTGCTCTACTCATCTTGGGAAAAGAAGCTTTTTGACTAGGAATCAGAATCACTGGTACTAAAATCTGAAATATTTTTAGATTTTGCATGATGATCAAAGAGGAACTAATACAGTGGCTACAGTAACTCATTTGAATGCATCTATGATAGACTGATTGCAAAATAGGGCCCTAATTTTTCCCCTCCCTGTATTCACTCCTTTGTGATGTGGCTTTACAGCAATTCTCCATGAAGAAGTGGAGCCTATCCCTTAACCTCTTGACTCTGGGCTGGTTTTGACCCTTAGGATGTGGCAGAAATGACCCTGTGACAATTCTGAGTCTAGGCCTCAAGAGTTCTTGCATGTTTCTGCTCATTCTCTTAGAATCCTGCAACTACATGTGAACAAGCCCAAGCCAGCTTGCTGGAAGAGGAGAGACCACATGGAACAGGGCTGAGTTATCTCAGCCAGGACCATCCTAGACCACCCTGACCTTAGTTGACCCCTCAGACATACCTACAGATGCACGAGAAAGCCTCACCAAAATCAACAGAGTCTGGACCAGATCACTAAACCACCCAGCCAATCCGTAGACTTTTGAAAAATTATACATAGTTTTAATAGTTGTTTTCACCCAATAAGTTTCAGGGCAATTTGTTACATTGTAATAGCTTGCAGATACCATTTCTCCAAGAGGCCCAGGTTCAACAAAAATTTAAAACAATATAGCGGTTTGTTGACTATTAAAAATATGAAATAAAAATATTGAGGACACACTGTGAAATCAAGGAAGGGTTTGTTCAATACTCCACCAGTGGTAAGACTATGAGAGACAGAGAGGGTATTCACAAACAGCAACTCTCCTTAGATTCTTTTGCATACTGGGTTTACGAATAAAAAGCATTTACATAAGAGAGTGAGAATTCACCAGTGGTTCCCAAACAGGGGTGAATTTCTTGCCCAGGGGATGTTAGGTAATGTCTTGGAGACTGCAAGAGTTGAAGAAGGAAGAAAGAAACATGAAAAGTGGCTTAACAATCAGAGACAGGTTTATTTTAAAGAATAAACTTGAGAGGGGCTTCTGGCTGAGTTAGGTTAGGAGCACTCTTTTTTTTTTCTTTAAGTTCCAGGATACATGTGCAGGTTTGTTACATAGATATACATGTGCCATGGTGGGCACTTAACAACCCATCGTCTAGGTTTTAAGCCCTGCATACATTAGGTGTTTGTCTTAATAAGGAGCACTCTTCTCTACAGACTAAGAGTATTTAAGGGTTTAGGGTGATAGAGTTTATCACAAGCTTGAAATGTTTCTGTGTCTCTTTGTCTTGCTTATCTGGGAGGGAGAATTTTTGTGTCTGTTCCCATACATTTTCCTGCAGCTGCAGGCATATCCCCCAAGTCTGCTTTTAGCTTCCCTATCTTAGTGCATCTAAAGGGGAAGGAATATGCTATTAAGGCCCACTGTTTTACTGGAGCCTATTATATGAGTGTGAAGTTTGGTGGTTACCCAAGAGACTTTTCCCCCTCCCTCTGTGTCTGAGCTGTCTTATCTGTGTTTTACTGTCTGCCTTTTCTGGCTGCTTGTTGTTAGAAGGGAGGTGATTTCCTTGAAATGCATGAGGTTAGAAAGGGAGCTGGAACTTAAAATGGCAGTGTTTGTCCAAGAGGGCGGTGCTTCTGCTGTCAGAGACATTTTTGGTTGTCACAACCTGGAAGGGGGTGTACTGACATCTAGCGGGTGAGGGTCAGGGGTGGTGCTCAACACCCTACAACAGAGGACAGCCCTCACAACAAAGACTTATCCGACTCCAAATGTGGACAGTGATGCAGCTGCACCCCCTTGTCTATACCCTGCTGGGGTACTCACCAATGTGCTGTTAAGGTGGAGGGTGTCAGTGAGAACCACGTCAGTCTCCCAGTTCTTGACTTTGAGGAAGCGTGGACACTTGGAGGGGCTGCCATTCTTTGTGGGGGACTGTTTTCCTGAGGCAGGGGGCTGGAGGAGAGAATGAAGGTGGAAGATGAGGCAGGGCCTTGAGTGGACTGTAACATTGTCTCCACGGAGGCCGGGGAGAGCCATTGTTCTTCCTGGGATCTGCCTTGAGTCACCAACTGTCTATATCCAGAGTAAGATCCAGCCCTCCCTGGTTGACATGTACAAGGTTCTTGGGAACCTGATTTCCCCACTTACATGGAAAGAAACACCATGGAAGAGCCTCTTGGGTTCTGCTCTGGGGAGAGGGATCAGGAACTCAAAGGTGGTCTCTCTCGTTCAATAGGGTCTGGCACACTGAGTAAGGACTCGGTGAACATGTGTTGAATGAACACATGACTGAAAGGACACCATCAACCTCTTTGAATGATAATAGCCCCTAGCACCAAGGAATCAAACCTAAAGCTGGGTTGATTTACTTGGATTTCTAGGCCTTTCTGTGACAGTCCAAACTCACCATTTCTGGCAAGGACTGAGAAAACAAAGATTTAAACTGAAAAATTTTGGGCCAGGCACAGTGGCTCACACCTGTAATCCTGGCACTTTGGGAGCCTGAGGCGGGCGGATCACTTGAGATCAGAAATTCGAGATCAGCCTGGCCAACTTGGTGAAACCTCGTCTCTATTAAAAATACAAAAATTAGCCGGGCATGGTAGCGCATGCCTGTAATCTCAGCTACTTGGGAGGCTGAGGCAAGACAGGAGAATCGCTTGAATCCGGGAGGCAGAGGTTGCAGTGAGCCAAGATCACACCACTGCACTCCAGCCTGGGAGACAGAACAAGACTCCATCTCAGAAAAATAATAATGAAATAAAATACAATAAAATAAATTGAAAAAATTTGAAGCAAAGAATATTGCCCCTAAATTTCTGGTTTCTGACTTTTAAAACTTCCAGGCTCGTTCCTGCCTCCGGGCCTTTGCACTTACCGTCCCCTCTGTCTTGAACACCTACATGGAAAGAAACCATGGAAGAGCCTGTTTATGGGGAACTTTAGTCCCCCATTTGTCTTCACTCTGCAAACAATTTGACCAGTAGGTGAGTGGGGATAAGTCTCAGGCTGACCAGTGTTGGCCCATTCATTTTAGACCTCACTGATAAGGATTACATCTGTCTTTTTTTTTTTTTGAGACAGGGTCTCGCTCTGTCACACAGGCTGGAGTACAGTGGTGCAATCATAGCTCACTGTAGACTTGACTTCCTAGGCTCAAGCGATCCTCCCACCTCACCCTCCCAAGTAGCTGGGACTACAGGTGCATGCCACCATGCCCAGCTATTTTTTTGTATTTTTTGTAGATATAGGGGTCTCACTATGTTGCCCAGGCTGGTCTTGAACTCCTAGACTCAAGTAATCCTCCTGCCTCAGCCTCCCAAAGTGTTGGGATTACAGGTGTGAGCCATCGCACCTGGCCTAGGATCACATCTGTCTTGGATGCTCCTAGGTTATTGTCTACCTGCCTGGGCACAGGCACACACATGCATCAGGCAAGCACTGGTCACTTAGTAACTCTAAGGGAGGGGCAGCAGGCGCACCCTGATGCAAAAGCCAAGCAAGGTTAGGGAGAAGATGAGCCAATGTTAAGTGACACTCATGCAAAGAGTACATCAGTGCACAGTGACCTTGAGGCAGGGTATTCATATATTCAACTAGTATTTATTGAGCACCTATTATAATACATGCTCAATAAATAGGCACTGGGGATTCAGCAGTGAAGAAGACAGACAGGGACCTTACTCTCTGAAGCGTTATGTGGTGGAGGTGGAGATAAACAGTAAGTAAACTAACATAGGATCAGTATAATTCCAGGTGATGATAAGAATAGAAAATGGGGAGGTGACAGTGACTGAGTGGAAGGGAGAAGGGCAAGTGCAAAGGCACTGATGTGGAATGAGCTTGTTAAGTTCAAAGGACCAGCAAGGAGGTTGACTGTGGCTGCAGTGTATGCATGAGGGCAAGTGTAAGGAGATAAAATCAGAAAGGAGGCAGGGCACCCATCTCACTGACTTGGAGGAGCTCAGGCTGGTGAGGGTAGCTGTGAATTATGATTAAATGCACTAAGTCCAGGATAGAAGTCACAGAGAACTGCAAAGTACTAATACTGATAACTAACATTAAATGAGCACTTATTATGTGCCAAGCAACAACCTTATTATCTCCATTTTACAGATTAGGAAACTGAGGCACAGAGAGGTTAAGTTGCCCAAGATCGCAGAGCTAATAAGCTGAATAAGGGAGTCCAATCCAGGCAGTCTGGCTATCAAACCATGTCCTTAACAGCTTGACTATCCTGCCTCTTGGCCATTAGGAATAATTCATTCATTTAAAACATGTCTATTGAGTAGTTCCTATGTGCCAGGTGAGGCAGCAGAGACCAAGACCATAGGACAAACTAGATGGATGTGAGCTCCCACGGAGTCACAGTCCTGTAGGAGGTGATGAAAACTGAATGAGCCATGGCAATCGATTTAGCACAATGGATGCCATTACATGGGACCTTGGCAGCACAGGAGAGGTAGGAGCACATAGAAGAGACATCTAACCTCTAGATTAAGACCAAAAGATGAGTATGTCCTAGACAGGCAAAGAAGAGGAAGCAAGGTCTTACAAGCAGAGAGAACAGATCATGTAAAGGTCCTAAGTTAAGAGAACTATCATGGCCACCTTCACAGCCAGTGGAATAAGAGGTCTGTGTTGAAGTGTTCATGGCGCCATGTTGGAGCCTGGGGAACAGGAGGTGGGGGAAGGGTGGGCCACTGTTAAAGATCGCTCCGGAAGAGTGCAGGCTGTGGCAGCACAGGGAACCCACGGAAGGTGATAGGATTCATAATCTTCCTCGTCTCCCCGCCCTGGCCAGATCTGGTCCTCCTCAGTGCTGGGTGCTACCAACCATCTGTGCTGGACACGCCACAGGTCGGAGCTATCTTAGTCATCAGCCTCTTCTCTATCTCCCACACCCAACTCATCACTGGTGATCACCCATCTTAGCTTTTTAACTAGCTCTAGAATCCATTCACTCCTCTCCCCTTCCACTGGCCAGTGCCCTGACCAAGTCATCTCTTACTTGGATGATCAGTCACCCCCTAAATGTTAGCCATTATTTATTATTATAAATGTTATTATTATGTGACCACTAGCTCAACTTATAGTATTAGAAGTATTAGTATTACTAGTAGTACTGCAATGCTTCTGCAAGCATTATTACTTGTATTATTACTACTTATATTATTACTTGTATTACTATTATTACTTATATTATTACCTAATTATTATTACTTGTATTATTATTATTATTACTTCTGCAAGTATTATTACTACACTACCACACTCGGAGCATGATAAAGGTTTGGATGAGTTCTTCCCTTTGTTTCTCATTGATAGTTTCTGTCTCAGTTATTGTGCCCATGTTTCCTTAGGAATTTGCATACAAACAACCCCACTTTGTTCAAAGGCCTGACCAGGCACCCTAAACACTTCTTTAGGATCCTGTCTCCCCTCCTGTCTCTTCCAGGAGGAGTTTTGGAGGCGATGAAAGTCACATCTGGGCAGGGCTTTGTAGTAAACACATTCCTCTGATCATGCCGACAACCCGTATCGAGACAAAAAAAATCCTACCTCGCGCAGAGGAAGGCACCCCAGCCATTCTCCCTACACACCGGGTTTCAGATGTGGTGATGACATCGGGTCTGGGCCCAGGACTCAGAGGGTGGGGGGCCAGGCATGAGGAGGAGGAGCAGGGTGCGGCCTGTGGGCAGCAGCTGACAGTCTTCATCGCCAGGGAGTGGGAGGAACGAGATAACAGGACTAATAAAAGAGGCCATCTGTGGAGGTCCCAGATGTGTGAGGGGTGGTCGTTAAGAGTCAAGTAATTGGCTGCCTGAGTGTGAGCCGTGTCCCCCTCCACCCTGGGTTTCACTGGATTGCACACTTGAAACCAGGCATTAGGAGGCTTCTGGCAGGGCTGTTGTACTTGGCGCTTTGATGTTTTAATTAGCCAGCAGCAATATTAGATGACTCAGGAAGGGAGAAACGGGGAGATTAATATAGCAGTCAGGGGCCCTGCATGCAGGATGCAAATGACTTTTCTGAGTGGGCACCAAAGTTCTCCTGGTCAAAATGCAGATGAGCAGCACTTGCGAATTATTACGGTGGGCACAGGGCACATGTGGGCTTTGGACTGTGGCTACATACATCCTTTTCTGGCTTTATGTCTGCGGTGGGGACAATGGAAGCTTTTAGGTGGGAGGAGACATTGGCTCGCTCTTTGTGGACCCCGGGACACCTGCCCCTAAGTGTGCAAAGGAGGCCATGAGCTCGTGGGCATTTTCATAGCCTTGTCAACACCTCTTTGCCTAGGAAGCTTGCAGAGGTCCTGAAGGAATGAAAGGAAATGGTCCTGCAGCCAGGCTCAAAAGGAGGCAGGGAGGTGCAGTCATGTCAGCCTGGGCTCTGGAGCTGAGAACGCCACTTCCAAGGTCTGCTGAAGCTCTGATTCCTTTTCCCCCTCTCTCTATTCCTCCCTTTTTTCTCCCTTTCAACAAGTGCATATTGAGCACCTACTGTATTTTGGGGACAAGTATTCTAGGACTCAGCAGCCGTTGAATGACTCTCATTCCACAACTGGGAAAAGCATCTTACAGCTGCTTCTTCTAAAGCAGAGATGCGCAGACGGCGTGGCCCACTGTCTGTTTTTGTACAGCTCCTGAGCTAAGAAGGATTTTTTCCATTTTTGGATTATTGAATGCAAAAATCAAAAGGAGAATATTTTGTGACACACGAAAGTTATATGATGTTCAAATGTTAGTGTCCATAAATAAAGTTTCATTGGGGCTCATTTGTGTCCATATAGCGTGTGGCAGCTTTGACACAACAATGTCAGAGCTGGCTAGTAGTTTTGATGGAGTCCAATGCCATGTGGCCCACAAAGCCAAAAATATTTATCTTGTCCTTTAGAGAAGAGGTTTGTAGACTCCTGATCTAAAGGGTTGAATTCCAGTGGCTGACCC